AGAGCACAACACGCCAGTGAGCGACAGGATAACGGACGTGTCGGCAGAATGGAGGAACTGGGGCAAGGGTCATTGAGGGGCCCATTTGGGAGACCCTGGAACCTGCTCGTGGGTTGGAGAAGGGAGGCGTGGCCAGGGCGGAGCCAGGCCACGGAGGATAAAAGGGGCCGAGAGTGGGAGCTCGAGGCTGCCGGTTTGGGATTAGATCGTCTCGTCGGTGCTTTCGTCTCGTCGACATTGCGCTGCTGGACAGCCTGAGACAGCCTGTCAGCTGTCTTAGTCAGCGCCGCCGATGCTCCAGAGTGTGTGCAAGGCGAGATCGTGTGTCTCAATAAAAGAAGGTGCCTCTACAAATATCGTTTCCGAAGCCACTGCACTACACACGAACAGGCCTCATGTCAAACCACTGCTGGATGAGGGATTACTTTTCCATACTGCACCACTCTTCTGCTCAGTGAGGTTGATGATTTCGGGAAGCACACATGGGGGCGTATAGAAGTACATTACAACATTTGGACTCATGCACTACCCTCTGTAGCCCCTCAGCCTCCGATTGGCCCAGTTGGCTACATACGGTGGGAAATAAGTTCATACAATACCCGTTTTATGTATGGCTCAATACCGCGTCATCTTCGGAGATGTTACCGTGCGTAGGGCTAGCAAGTTAGAGAAGTTAATTGAGATGAATGCCTGTAGAAAGAGGCACCCCGGGGAATCGAAGAAGTGCGTCTTGCCGCGAGGGGTAATTAACTATTGAGAGTGGAGGTGACGAATCACAGTGGAGGCTTCGCGTAGCCGCGGTGTTCCCAGCGACCCCTCGCGAAAACCTGGTCAGTGAATCTCAATGGGCTGGGCTATCCCCACGTGGTTAATCTGGGACAGCCACGCGTGATGCTGGCTACCTGCGGGCGTTAATAGGGCGAACAGCACTGACGCCATCGGCGTGTAAGGCTACACTACATGTAGGACGGCGGACTGTGGGGATTGCTGCTCGTGTCTGTGTGCATGCATCTACCTGTATGTGTGTGTGACTGGGGAGAGGTAGTTCCATTCCCGCTCATGACCAATAACAGTGGCGCATTAAATTTCGATTTAAAGCTTTCGTGACTGCAAGGATTCATCTTCTTGGTTCATTCGGTAAAGTCACGTAGAAGGGAAATTATAACATTAAAAAACATTAAAATAAAATTTTCACGACGTTTCGGCCACAAGGCAAGCAGCGGTCCTCAGGTGAAGAACAGATCTGTTGGAAAGACAGCGTTCGCCCAAGACAGCGTATTTCCGACAGCCCTGTTCTTCACCTGAGGACGGCTGCTTGCGTTGTGGCCGATACGTCGTGAGAATTTTATTATGTTTTAATTTTATTATTTTATTATTACCCTTTAACGTGACTTTACCGAAAGAACCATAAAGAGTGGCGCATTATTTAACCGGTCCTGGGCCTCCCCTAGGTCGACTCGGACTAAAATGAGTACCACACACACACCAACACCACACACCATACACCAACACTACACACACCACACACCAACACCACACACACACCACACACCAACACCACACACACACCACACACCGACACCACACACCACACCCCAACACTACACACACCACACCCCAACACCACACACACCACACACCAACACCACACACACCACACACACACCAACACCACACACACCACACACACACCACACACCACACACACCACACACACACCACACACACACCACACACACCACACACACACCAACACCACACACACCAACACCACACACACCACACCACACACACCAACACCACACACACACCACACACACCCCAACACTACACACACCACACACCAACACCACACACACCACACACCAACACCACACACACCACACACACACCACACACACCACACACACACACCACACACACACCGCACACACACCACACACACCACACACACACCCCAACACTACACACACCACACACCAACACCACACACACCAACACCACACACACCACACACACCACACACCAACACCACACACACCACACACACACCACACCACACACACACCACACACACACCACACACACCACACACACACCCCAACACTACACACACCACACACCAACACCACACACACCACACACCACACACACCACACACACACCACACACACCACACACACACCACACACCCCACTCCCACTCGCAATCTGCGCCGCGCCCACGCCACGGGCGCTGTGGGCGCGAGGTGGGAATCGTCGCTCGCTCAGCTCCGCAGCCGCGGGGACGCCGTCATTCACGCCCCACCCAACTCCGATATGTTGTGCGATGCATGCTTTGTTTATCAGATGCTTTGTTTATCAGATGCTTTGTTTATCAGATACCTACTCCAAACCGTCAGTGTTTTCCACCGATTTTACCGGTAGGTCTAAATGCACTTTTTAAAATACAGTATCGTTGTATATAAATACATCCACGTGGTTACAATGTAATCAATGACCGTGGAATTCAAATAAGGAAACCCGTCCGAGAGGGCATCCACCACGGAGATGGAGCGATGAAATCCGCTCGTGATGTGGGTGTATTTATGTTGCACTTATTTCGCACCGTACGTAGCCAACCGCGCTAATCGCAGATGCGGGGCATGGATAACAATCTAAACGCAAAAAGCAGTTCTAAGGAATTTAATTTTGTGAATTTTGAAAATTAGTTTTCACTTGATATTGGCCCAGGACCGTGAGAGGTGGCGGCGCCTTTAGAAACCATATTCTAGCAGTGGATTGACCATGGCTGATTATTGTGTTCCATGTAAATTGAGGAGTGCAGAGTAAGCCCACAGATATGGAATGGATAATGCTCGACCTCTGTTGTACATCGAGTAATGTCGGCAACCTACTTTCTGTGCTACGTCAAAGACTGCACCACAACGTGACTCACCAACACCGCCGTCAAGTTCCATGCGAGACACAAACACAAGACAGCACGCAGAGACCACACGCAGCACGGACGACACCGACCGAGCGAGACAGACACTGGAAGTTCTCGACTCGTGACCCTGAATCGCGCCATGAGCAGCGGTGGAGGGAGAAGTGCGGATGGGTGAGATGCAGAGTGAACCCAGATGACGCCCGATTGGGGACCCTTTGGAAAAGCGTCAACATCCCGGCACATTTTAATAACGGGCAGAGAGGCGTCGTCGTGGTTCGCGCGCTCCTGCGCTTTGAGTCCAAACATCCCGGTTTCGGCTCCCGTAAATGCACAATAACACACATTAGAAATTGAGCCATCTCTGTCTTTCCATCAATTTCAACTTAGCCTAAAATTCTGCTGCGGTCATCAAGTCAACAGAATTTGAGCACAGGGCTTGACCGTTGCTACGCAGAGGGCCTGACTGTTGCTATGCAGAGGGCTTGACCGTTGCTATGCAGAGAGATTGACCGTTGCTACGCAGAGAGCTTGACCGTTGCTACGCACAGGGCCTGACCGTTGCTACGCAGAGGGCCTGACCGTTGCTACGCACAGGGCCTGACCGTTGCTACGCACAGGGCCTGACCGTTGCTACGCAGAGGGCCTGACCGTTGCTACGCAGAGGGCCTGACCGTTGCTACGCACAGGGCCTGACCGTTGCTACGCAGAGAGCTTGACCGTTGCTACGCAGAGGGCCTGACCGTTGCTACGCACAGGGCCTGACCGTTGCTACGCAGAGAGCTTGACCGTTGCTACGCAAAGAGCTTGACCGTTGCTACGCAGAGGGCCTGACCGTTGCTACGCAGAGGGCCTGACCGTTGCTACGCAGAGGGCCTGACCGTTGCTACGCACAGGGCCTGACCGTTGCTACGCAGAGAGCTTGACCGTTGCTACGCAGAGGGCCTGACCGTTGCTACGCAGAGGGCCTGACCGTTGCTACGCAGAGGGCCTGACCGTTGCTACGCAGAGGGCCTGACCGTTGCTACGCACAGGGCCTGACCGTTGCTACGCAGAGAGCCTGACCGTTGCTACCCACAGAGCCTGACCGTTGCTACGCACAGGGCTTGACGTTGCTACGCACAGGGCCTGACCGTTGCTACGCACAGGGCCTGACTGTTGCTACGCAGAGGGCCTGACCGTTGCTACGCAGAGGGCCTGACCGTTGCTACGCACAGGGCTTGACCGTTGCTACGCACAGGGCCTGACCGTTGCTACGCACAGGGCCTGACCGTTGCTACGCAGAGGGCCTGACCGTTGCTACGCAGAGGGCCTGACCGTTGCTACGGACAGGGCTTGACCGTTGCTACGCACAGGGCCTGACCGTTGCTACGCACAGGGCCTGACCGTTGCTACGCAGAGGGCCTGACCGTTGCTACGCAGAGGGCCTGACCGTTGCTACGCAGAGGGCCTGACCGTTGCTACGCACAGGGCCTGACCGTTGCTACGCACAGGGCCTGACCGTTGCTACGCACAGGGCCTGACCGTTGCTACGCAGAGGGCCTGACCGTTGCTACGCACAGGGCCTGACCGTTGCTACGCACAGGGCTTGACCGTTGCTACGCACAGGGCCTGACCGTTGCTACGCACAGGGCCTGACCGTTGCTACGCAGAGGGCCTGACCGTTGCTACGCAGAGGGCCTGACCGTTGCTACGGAGAGGGCCTGACCGTTGCTACGCACAGGGCTTGACCGTTGCTACGCACAGGGCCTGACCGTTGCTACGCACAGGGCCTGACCGTTGCTACGCAGAGGGCCTGACCGTTGCTACGCACAGGGCCTGACCGTTGCTACGCACAGGGCCTGACCGTTGCTACGCACAGGGCCTGACCGTTGCTACGCACAGGGCCTGACCGTTGCTACGCACAGGGCCTGACCGTTGCTACGCAGAGGGCCTGACCGTTGCTACGCACAGGGCCTGACCGTGCGTGCGCGATGCTGACCCCGCCACCCCACGTGCGCTCGCTTCCCTCGTCAAGAGAGGCGACACGGGGGGCGTTCGCGTGTGCATGGCGTCGTGTCACGTACCGGTTAGTGCGCTGCACTACGAACCCCGCAACCCGAGTTTGGTTCTCCCCTAGGTCGATTCAGCCTCAAATTAGTACCTGGTGCGATGTATAAACATCGTCACTGAGGAGACAAAGGCGGTCGGGCGTCGTTCTGGCCACCCACCCCCTCGTGTGTTGCTTTCTGGTCTTCATAGGCGCTCACTAACAGCACATGCCTCAAACTTGTGTGAAGGCTAGACGGGGGATCTTTGTCTTGTATGGTGCTTGCGGTGCGTCTCCTGCAGTAAGGCGTGGTGGCATGCGCGTCGTGACTGCTGCTTCGAGGAGGCGCCGAGGCCACACGCGGCTCGCAAATCACCGCGTTGTCTGCCCTGTGTTTAAATGCACGTGGCTTTGCACGGACAATTACCGTCGGTCCAATTCACTGTCTTGGCATGATTCCTGAGTGGCGGCCAAGGGAAGGCCAAGTGCTCGCAGCAGAATCCGGCATCCACGCACGCCTCGCATGCGTGGAATGTCTCCGGGTTACTCCTGTTTCCTCCCACAAGCCAAACACTGCGTCATGAAATGCACGATTTCAAGTTAAAACAAATCAAAGTGATTTCCTGCTCAAATGAGCCAGTGACGGAAATTCCACATTCCTATGATGGGGGAACTTCTATCCAAAGGACATCCACTGTTGACTTCCCCGCAAAGTGGTCACATATTTTATCATTGGCCACGGAGAGATGATGGGCTTGGGGCAACCTCCAGCCAGGATGTGAACTCGCAGCCTTGCCATTGCGAGCTACTCGCTCTACCGCCGAGCCACGAGGCCGGATGAAACAAAGGGTCCATTGTGATGACTAATCCCTCGCGTCAATGCGGCCCATAATCTCTCAACACCGCCTGAATGATCAAGGTACTTTAGGTTCATTGCTGAATTCTAAGCATTCGCTTGATGATTAACGGGGCATTCTGGAGAGATGACCCTGCAATCCAGGGTGGTAGTGGAGTTGGCGGATCATACAGAGATGAAAGCCGTAAGGCAAGATAACGAGGCAGTTTCCTCTAGAAGGCAGTACAGAAAGTGAGTTTGTGGAAGGATATCAATATATTGTCGTGGTGTTCTCGAGTGTCTGTGGTGGTCCCCTCTGTGGACTGCTATCATTCGATATGAGAAAGCTCCTAGATATTTATCGAAACATCCCAGTCAATACCCTCTTGCTAAATACAGTTACGCATGAATGTCATCCAAGTGGGAACACATATGCGTAACGAACGCGACTCCTTCACGTGATGAACAAACAAGTGGTAACATTTTCCAACGTCACGTTTTAATTCCGTGTTGACACATTTCATGATGTATATACCAACATTCATCACCATATATTCAACCAGACCTCACGTATAGCCTCCATCAATCTCTCAGCTCCACGCACAGACTGCAGGTGAAGATCGTTCGTTTCAGCTGGACCAATCAGCAAGTGGACGATGCCACGAGTGTGGCAGACGCCGGATTGTTACCCCCTCGCACGTGAGGGGTTTCCCTGGGTACTTCAGTGTCTTTCCACATTATAACAAACTCTTAAAATGTACAAAATGGGACCTTTTTGTCAGTATCAAAGTATGAAAAAATAAGCATAGGGTTTATCCTTTCTGGCAATAAAACAGGTGATAAGATGTTCAAATACCAAATAGAAATATTTTGCAAGTAATCAAGTCTGCATGAACCACGCGTACTTGTGGTGGACATGCAAACAAACATGCTCTGGTAATCTCTGCATTGTCTTTGAAGCGGATTGGCCTACACCAGAGACAGCGGCCTTCTTGAGGGCCTCGCCTCACCACCAGGGTCACACCAGAGAACAACGCCAAAAGGCGAGCGGCTGCTTTATTGGCAGTAATGTAAACTCCGTTCTTATTTTTTCTTAAAATGTAATTGGCCAAACATTCAAATACAGGATCTCTTAAAAAAGAGTCTTGAGACTCAGTTAGGCTTTGATGTGTAAATAAATGTCAGGAACAGCATCCAGTTAACACAACCGCCTGGTCCCACCTCGTTCCCGGTGGGCCGAGAGCATTCGTCCAGATGTATCACTGGTACGGAAATCGGGCCTGGGGTGGCAAGCGGATGTTGCCACCATACGGGTTCCAAAAGCACCTATACCAATAGTCGATATTTGTGAGTGATTAACCATTTGAAAACATATCACATACTAACTAACTTTTATTGGCCATGTAAAAAAAAGGTATGAAAACAATTGTCCCATTCAAGTGGAACCAATGTGCCCCCCCCCCCTCCCCAGGGTCACGTGCTGGCGTGTTGGCACGTCCCACTGTGACACCACACTGGGACAAATCACCCTGCTCTCAATCACACACTCACTACCCACCAATTAAACGCGTTTACAGCAAAGCCTTCCGATTGCCATCCAATGTCAAGTTCCACACAATTAACATTTCAATTTAAAATTACAGTACTGAAAAATTGCACGTTTACGTCTTTACAAAGTATACCAAGTGCAGGAACATAGCGACTAATTAACACAAATTGTTGTTGTAGACGGAGACGCGTGACTATCACACTCGCACGCACACATCCCGCGTTTGCGCATCAGGCAAATCTAAATATACTCTTTGCGTTTCACGTGGCCCAGATTCTACACCAGGTGAGCTTAGTCCAGCCCGGTCTACACCAGGTGAGGTTTAATCAGCCCATTCTACACCAGGTGAGGCTAAACCAGCCCGTATACATGGCCCAGATTCTACACCAGGTGAGGCTAAGCCAGCCCAGTCTACACCAGGCGAGGTTTAACCAGCCCATTCTACACCAGGTGAGGCTAAACCATCCCATTCTACACCAGGTGAGGCTAAACCAGCCCGTATACGTGGCCCAGATTCTACACCAGGTGAGGCTAAGCCAGCACCTTCCGACAGCCTAATTTGCGGCCCAGCCTGCTCTCAATGTCAACATCACGGCGAGTGCCCAACTTGAGGATCGTTTTTTAACAAAAGTGATGTCCAAAATGTGGATACCTCATTTCTTCCCAGGAACGTTTTAATAAACTGAGACTGAATCGTGTCAACTCATGGACTGTGGCGAAGCCCTCGCAGAACCGTGAGTCCATGGTGAGTGATGTTTGTGTATAATAATAATAATGTGTGTGTGTGAATAATGATGTGTGTTTGTGTATGTAAAATATAAATGTACTCAGGTCACCAGGTATATTCACACTGCGCTGTATTGTAGACGTGAAATAAGGAAAGAAGAAACAACACAGTCCCTGCTACAACGCGATCAAGACAGAGGCTTTAGGTTTCATTAACTCGCCCTCCAAGGCCCGGTCGAGTTCGTATCTATGACCACATGGAGTGACTGCGTTATGTGTTTTACAGCGAGCGATTCACGTGGGAAACTAATGGAATTGTTCACTTACGCTGTGTATACGATCAGCCGCTCGCCTTATAATTAGAGCCATATCATAAACCGTAGTCTTAGCCCAACCATAAACGTTGCATTTGCCACATTCCAAAGCATAACTCGACTCCATGAATCCGAGGCACAACTTTGCTTGAGCCCAGCAGCGAGCCCTGTATTCATGAACGCCAACACTCACCCTAACTGCGCCCCTAGCCTCCTCCTCTTGACAATCAGTTCCCATTGTATGTATGTACAGTGTGTTGAACTTCTTTCGCACCGCACGTAGCCAACCGTGCTAATCAGAGGGATGAACCCCATGCGTCAATGTACACGCAATGCCAAAGTGCTCGCTCACCAGGTGTGGGTTCGCGCCCCTCCCCTGCTCACCAGTAGCGAGGAGTGCAGGCCAAACGAAAGTGAGATTGTCTTCCCATGTACTTCACCTAACTACCTGAGTTTGATTCCCAGACACGGCTAACACCAGCGACGCATGATATCAGAAGCCATCCTGGTCGCACCCCACTTCACCAAGCCGGATTGACCAGCGTGGTGAAGTATGGTCAAACAAACTTCATAACCGAAAGGTATTGAGAGGCCTTCATCTAGCAGTGGATCGACAAAGGACTGTACAATTATATGGCAACGGTGCAGGCAAGTTGGAGGAAAAGGGAAGCGAATGAGCTTTTAGCTGAGCTCTCCTGCGCTCTTGGGAATGTCAGCTGCTGGGTCGGGTGACATCACTAAATAATGAACACAAGTCCCCGTGCGCCTGTTACTCTACACGGCCAGATGTGAACGCGCCTCACTCGAACACATCAATGCACCAATCTCTCCTGCAGGTTACACTCAGCCGCATGGGACACAGAGTATTTGTGTCTCTCCATCAGTGGCACGTGCCTGCCACCACACGTGCAACAGTAGGCCTGTATGAAGCGAGGTAACGATCCCCCGCTGAAGCCGCACGCTGCTGGAGGCAAGTGCTATGGAAGAGCACCAGTTAAGGCGCTTCGGTGTGGCCAGCGCCACTCGACGGCCGCCTTTGTCTCCCTACGGAACCAAAGTTTACACACCGCGCCGGGTACTCATTGGGTCGACCGATGCTAAGGCTGACCACTGATGTTAGCCGTGGCTGCGAATCAAGCCCTAGACTGCTGGGCTTGTAGGACCTTGCGAACCGCTGCAGCATCGGCTCCATACGTAAATAAAGACAAAGATCCCCCGTATAGCCTTAACAGATTGTTGGTGCAGGTGCTGTTAGCGAGACCTTGTGAAGGCCAGCTCGGCACACGTGGGGGTAGGTGGCCAGCACCATGCTCCACCGTCTTTGTTGATGTCTGCGCACCGCACCAGGTACTCATTTCAGGCCCATTCGACCTGTAATAATGGTATATATATATATGTTCAAAATAGTTATACATGTTTGTATCTGTCTCATATATATCCCAATGTCTTTACCTCCAATAAGCCTCAATACAGGGTTCCAGTGTCAGAATGTGTCCACGCGTGCATGTGCCAGCTGGTGACGCACATGTAACGCGTGCGAATAATGGCAGGAGTTACTCTGCCAAAACACACTGCTATATACTTGGTTCAAACGTGTAAATACTGTGTTTGTGCCTGCGCGTGCATTTGTTTGCGTGTGCCGCTTGCCCTGACCTAGAAAGTCAAATGCTACACGGCGCAGCCTCCGTGCTCCATTGGGCAAGAAGAAGGGATGACGCAGCCACGCCACGGGCAGATCAACGGGGACCAGAGCCTGCGCGAATGTGCGAGGCGACATTCCACCGCCTCCCTCTGCTGAGTAGCGCAACGCGCTCGGCGGAGTAACGCACCATCGGAGCCCTGAAAGCAGCTCCTAGCGACAGCCCCGGCTCAGGCAGAGACCCCGCGGCGGGTGCCACGCGGGCTGCCTGGCCAATACGCCGGGGACTCGGCTCATGTCTGCGCTAACAATTAAAAGCATATTTACACAAAATAAAGCATTTAGATCAAACGTCCATTTTTCCAAGAGCATACACAAGTGCATGGAAGGTAGGCAGCCAGTATAGCAAGTATGTTGCTGATTTGAGGAATGCGTAGGATATATCCTGGCACTCCGGATTATTTACTTATGCGAATACAAATTTCAAAACGGAATAAGTAATGCGTCTAATGCAGGTGCCTCCAGAAATCGAGCCACGAGACTCACGGAGGCTTTGCGAATGAGTTAAGTGAAGCGGTACGGACATATACCCGAGTAAGCAAGCTGCGTTGTCATCAAGAAGCGAATCAGGTTCATGCACAGGCATTTGCATGAGACCATCACCATCATCATGAACCATTGTCTCCCCTCAGTCTCCACCATCCACCATACAATGCCACGATCCATGTTTTTCACAGGTCTCCCTCTGCTCCGGGGCTCCATAATAGTACCGAACAACGTACGACGTCCTAGAGGTGGCGTACGTTCGGTTCAAGAGAAGCCTTGTCGTAGTTCCGAATAAATAAGGGACTTACGACATTGGGAATTCATAGTGACAATCGTAGCGCGCCGGACTTGTGCCAACTTGTAAGAGCATGTTCTGTCGTCCCCTGCCAGAACTCCCCTGCAAGAGGCAAATAAATAAATAAATAAATCTCACTTCGTTGAGTTTCCCTATAGACGCCCTGGCGGGACAAAAATATTTAGATATTCAATGTATATACAGAGGCCATACATTTCTGTCCAGTGTTTGGATAAACACCATCACCGCTCACTAAATCTCTGGCGCAAAACAGCTATAAAAATAGACATTAGCCCTCCTCTTGTGCGTGACTTCAACACGACAGAGGGATTGTCCACCCACACAGTGACCTCCAATCGAGACCCAGAGACAGATACACAAAGACAGATACACAGAGACAGATACACAGAGACATACACAGAGACAGATACACAGAGACAGATACACAGAGACAGATACACAGAGACAGATACACAGAGACAGATACACAGAGACAGATACACAGAGACAGATACACAGAGACAGATACACAGAGACAGATACACAGAGACATACACAGAGACAGATACACAGAGACAGATACACAGAGACAGATACACAGAGACAGATACACAGAGACAGATACACAGAGACAGATACACAGAGACAGATACACAGAGTCACAATTAAAACGCCGAGTGAGAGAGAGACAGAGATGAAGATTTACAGGCACGTAAATATTAGACTTTGTGGCATACAAAGGACCAACGCGCACTGAGAGACGAAGATATACACAAAGACTCACATAGAGACAGAGAGACACAGTGACATGGGGCAGTGATGTTCTTCGTCTCGAGGTTCTCTTCACTAACCACTCACCGCTGCATTTAATCGCTTTCTGAAAAGAAAACTGCAGATGTTAAAGACTCAGCATGGCGATTGTTTCACTAATTGACCAATTAATCGACTCGTTGACTGTCAGCATGCTTCATCGCGCTTCGCTTCCCCCGGGCCGCAGTCCTCGGGAACAGCAGCGCGCAACTTCGTCTTGGTTGAGTCTTCACGTGCGTGGGCCGCTTGCCTATTACATACAACACCCTCCCATAAAACACCCTCTCATACACCACGTGGCTGTGAAGTTGATTGCTACAAACACCAGCTCACCGTGTAAGCGTGGGCGCAATCAGGCAAGACCAGAATTCTCTCTCTTAATGTAAACATTGCTAGCTGTGCGAGACGTGGGACGTGCAATAAAAAGTTAAATGCGGCCCCCAAATATCCAACTAATCCTTCCGTGTCTATGCTGTCCCAAATGAATTATGGGGCTCACAGAAGATGCGTATCTGAGTCGTGAGCAGCATCCCTAATCCGTTGGACAGGGAGTCGGCATTGGCTCCTGTTTCCAGGTTGAGGAGGCTCCAACTCCTGTCCTGGTTTTGTAGTCTCGGGCGGACTCGTGGAAGGATAGCACACTTCACCCAGGTCGGCATTGGTAGCCTCCTCAAATCTCATGCCACGATGGGTTTCGGTCTTTATTTAGAGATGCGTCTCGGAAGGGTTGGGGCCATGTGGCGGAGAGGCGGGACGCACAAATTCCTCTTCGACCTCGAAGCTCACGTTGCGGTTCAAGCGCGAGATCATGATGAGCTTCTCCTTGTTGGAGTACTGCCGCTTCATGGGCCGGTAGGAGGAGGGAGACGAGGTGGGGGACGAGGCAGGAGGCGAGGACGCGGCGGAGGAGGCGACTTTCGGCTGCTCCGTGGGCTCCGCACCCGAGCCGACGCGAAGTGGCGGCACCACGTCTTCCTTCTCAACGTCCGCGTCTCCCCCTTCCCCGTAAGGAGACACGTCCGGGACAGATTCAGGTCCATCTGTGGCCGCGGGGGAACGTTCCGTCTGTCCCTGTGCGCCGGAGGCAATGCTAACGTCCACGAGAGACAAGGACCTGGCTCTCTCTCGGTCCCCATCACCGCCTCCGCCCTCCGCCGTCGCGTCGGAGCGATGTGGAGGCGCGACGGCGAGGTCACCGGCGTCGTCGATGACGCAGTTGTTGAGCTTGATGACGGGAAGCGTGAACGCGGTGATGGACGAGGACACGATGGAAGTGGCTCGACACGGAGCTTTGGACGCCTTGCTGGAGAGGCCCTTCTCCTCGCGGGGGCTGCGTGGGCTGCGCGGGCTGCGGGGACAGGTCTCCGAGTGGATGGTGTAGAGTGAGCCAGAGCGGCCGCCGCGGAACGGAGCACCCAGGATGCCCAAGGGGTCTCCGTGGCGGAGGTCGTCGCACAGATCCGCTGAAAACTTTGGGTCGCTGATAGCGCACGGCAGGGTGAGGAGCATGCTGGCCGTGAGCCGCGCCGCGCACTGAGCATCGTAGCAGCGAGCGATTTGGTCGGCGCCCTGTCGTCCCGCGAGGCCGTTGACTTGGCCGCGAGATGGCGCCGTGGCCCCCTTGGCGCCGCGGTGGTTGTGGTGGTGGTGGTGCGTGTCGATGATGGCCGAGTAGATGTCACGCAAGTGGATGACCTTGGTCTCACGGTCGCGGTTTTCGTAGAGGGCCGCGATGCCGCAGATGAAGATGAAGATGCCGATGCCCATGGTGAGCGGCCCCAGCACTTTCATGCGGTACGAGTGCAGCTGCGCGGCCAGAAAGCCCTGCTCGGGGCCAGAGGTGCGGCCTGGGGTCGCGGACGAGGTCACGTTGGGGCCGGGCGCAGCCTCCTCGGTGCCGTTGCGCCACTCGGTCACGGAGGTGGCGTTGCCGGCGGCGGAGGATGAGGTTGAAGAGGAGGAAGCGGTCGATGCGGTCGTGGGGCTGGAGGAGAGGGCACGGGTCGCGCTGCCCTTAGGCCAATAGCCAATGGCGGCCATGGCCACGCCGACCACCAAGATGAGGACCCCGAAGGCGGTGAACACCCCCGAGAAGCTGAGGACGCGCACCTTGCCCTTCACCACCACCACGTCCGGGTCGTACTTTCTCCGCCGGCCACGGCCGCGGCCGCGGCCTCGCAGGTGGCGCTTGGAGCCCCCAGGCTGTGCGGCGCCCCCGCCGCCTCCTCCTCCTCCCTCGCTCCGATTCCGGGAGCTGAATCCGCGGAGCAGTGCCCCGGCCGCGGACATCACCGCGGGGCGAGCCGAGCACCTGGGGAGAGAGCGTGGCGGCTTAGCGCACCGTTCCCCAAACCCGCGGCGCCGCCGCTCTGTGCGGCCCCAACCCTCTCCGTCAGTGCTCGCGTGCGCGCCTCGGTTTAGCCTCGTACTGTTCGGCACAACATCCGACGCTGGGAGCTCCATGGCCCAGCAATAGGTCTGAGAGTGAAGCATACGAACCACGGAACCCTACAAAGTGGCAGCCTTCTCTGTTAAAATACAAATTCAGTCCTTGCACGCTATACGTGCCGGATGGTTGCTAAACATGTTCCAATACACCTAGAATAAGACAAACGGCGGCTGTTGGGAGCGCTCTTATTCTGGACTCGCTTTTCTACGTGGGACTCACGTGGCAATCATGAGGTGTGTGCGGTGCGTAATGATGCAAGGATCGGAACCCAAGGGGAGTCGGGTCACAATTGGTGCGAGGGCTCACGCTTGTGAAACCTGGCCTAGAAGGTGATGTCACCTGTTCTATGGAATTAGTGATCCCCTGTTGTTGTAACAAGGAACGGGGTGAGTAAGGGAGATCATAATAACTGCGGAAGAGCTCTCAACCGGCACCCTAGGGGGATGTGTTCGTTTCTGGGTTTCAACCGATTGTGATTCAGCCGTGTTCTCGAGTGTCGCGAGGGGGCAGTGTCAGCTCTGCCTCGAGCGACGAAGAGAACGGCCACGTTGCATTTTACAATTTGGGTCATGCCATCTCTGCAGATGGCAGCATCTGGGTTCGAGTGGCAAGTGACACGCAGTCTTTGCCGGGCATACACAAGGGCTGTCCCTCGCATGGCCTACTCAACTCGTTCGGCGATGCCAGACTCCGGGGACATTCTCTGACTCAGAGTGGTGCACTGCTCTCTGCATTGAGATGTCTTCATCTCTTGACATGACGCACAACTGTTTGTGGCCCCTGCAATAGGAATGTGGAACTTGCACCACTGCCTCAGGGCTGTCATCAGAGATAAGCACCGCTCCACGCATTATCTTAGTCTAAGTGGCCACATCTTGCGGATGACAATCAATTAAATCGAACCCAGTCCGGGGTTTCGTTGGTGCTTGTGCCAGGCTAGGTGCACCCTGAAGCCATGTAGAGTAACGAATGTTTGAATGCTCACTGGCAGGAAGTCAGTGACCAAACCCATGCATTATGGGTTAGCTGATCATTGAGTGGCAAATGTACCAGTTTGTTGTTTGTGTTTTATACCTGAAGCTCGGTTCATTGTTGTGAGCATCACTCCACTGCTACCCCCACGGACTCGATCCCATCATTGCTCCCGCACCGAGATTTAAAAAAAAAACGTGATGATAAATACACGCAGTTCTAATCATCATTCACCATGGTCTATCCACGGTCAGCTCACAGCCATCGCCTCGACGTTCAAGGGTCTGTGGGCTCTTGTTTTATTCTGGGTTAAAATGTCTGTACCGACCACCGCACGCAATGAGGTCGAGAGGCGGAGAAGGGTCATGTCAGCATCGCGGTATTTGTGCGCGCTATATACCGGACATCGTCATCACTGTTAGAGGGAGAGAAGAGAGGTGGAGTGATGAGAGAGGGACAGTGCCAGAGACAGGCAGAGCAGGGATCGAGAGGAGGGAGACATGGAGAAGAGGGATCGCGAGAGGAAGGCGCGAGAGAAGCGACAGAGTGGAGAGTGGGAGCGCGGAGGGGAGCATAGAAACAGAAGGAGATGGGAGAAGCACACACAGGGGACGTGGAGAGGATGGAAGGAGACGAGGGATACGATGAGTGTTATGAGCGAGATAGGAGAGAGGAAGAGAGGAGAGATGGAGGGAGAGACAGGAGGAGAGACATGGGGAGGAGGGAGCGAGATATTGATCATGATGTGTTGGTTTTTTAAGAGACCTCCCTTCTTTACACATTAAAAAAAGGACCCTTCCAGTGGCAGCTGTCCCTGTGGGCACAAGGCGACTCAACACCAAATCTGCTAATGTGCAATAGTCTACCAGTAGGGGGCGATGATCACTACGTATAGTCCCAATTGAGTAATTCTCTAATTTGGCAAAATTGAACCCGCACGCCGGCACACAATGGGTCTTTGACGTCCGCTGTGCAGCACGCGGCGCGTGGAGTCACTGCGGTGAATGCGCACGGCAGCGTCCGTCAGTGGGCCGCTGGATTCGCACCAACAAGTGGCGAACGCGCTATCCCTACGTAGGGTACGTGTTGAACTTCTTTCGCACCGCACGTAGCCAACCGAGATAATCGGCATTGCCCTGAGAGGGAGAGAGACGGGAAGAGGGACAGGTAGATGAGAGGGAGAGAGAGAGAGGGGCGGGGTGCGATCGAGCCGCGTGCCGCCATGAGGTCCGCGAGGCGCTGAATTGGGCGGCGATCATCAACGCGATGATTTGAGGGCGCTGAGCGTGACGGACCACCGGTTACACGCACACAGCCACGTTCACCTATTAAGGTTGAACGGCACACAAGGGGATCGTGTGGGTGACACCACTCCCGACCGCCTTTGTATCCCTTGTGCTGATGTTTACATACCGCATTAGGTACTCGGGTATAGAGGTATATACAAATACATACAAACAAATACAGATAACCCGCATAGCCAAAATAGACTATTGGGACGAGTACGATACACGAGGGGGTGGGTGGCCAGAACATCGTCTGGCTGCCTTTGTTTCTCTAGTGGCGATATTTTAAAACATCGCACCAGGCAAACATTTGAAGGCTGAGTCGACCTTGAAGAGACCCAGGACCAGTTCATATAATCGTCCCTGGTGTTGGCCGTGAACGGAAATCCAATTCGGGTCGCCGGTTTCGTGATAACCACTGCAGCACTGGTCCCCACTATACAAGACAAAGATCCCCCGTATAGCCTTTACAGACTTTTTGGGCAAGTGCTGTTAACGAGCATCTATGAAAGCCAGAACGGCACACGAGGAAGTGGGTTAACAGCACCACTCCCGGCCGCCTTTGTCTCCCTAGTGGCGATATTTACACACATGTACTCATTTTGATGCTGAGTCGACCTAGAGGAGGTCCAGGACCAGTTCAGATATTCGTCACTGATGCTGACCGTGAGCGGGAGTCGAATTCGGATCGCCAGGTTCGTAGCGCAGCACGTTAACCGCTACACCACCACTCTCCCCCCACACAGACACACACAGGCACACACAGACACACACAGGCGCACACAGGCACACACAGGCACACACAAACACACAGGCACACACAGGCGCACACAGGCGTACACAAACACACACAAACAGCCACAAACAGGCACACACAAACACACAGACACACACAGCCACAAACAGGCACACACAGGCACACACAAACACACAGGCACACACAGACACACACAGGCACACACAGGCACACACAGGCACGCACAGGCACACACAGGCACACACAAACACACACAGGCACACACAGACACACACAGACACACACAGGCACGCACAGGCACGCACAGACACACAGACACGCACGCACGGACGCACCCACGCACCGATGCGAGGCACCCGTAATGAGCGCACCGAGAGACCACAGCAGCAGCAGCGCAAGGCACAAGCCTCGTCTCCCGCTCCCCGACCGCGGCTCTCCCCTCCCGTGCCGAGCGAACACAAAGCGCATCTCCCAGCCTCGTCACGAGCACCACCTCCTCGAGATATCGCTGCTGTGCTCGCCGCCTATGGGGGCACGCATCATCCAGCAGTGGCATTGGCCGCCACAGCTTCTCCCTCTCGTCTCGTACTCACCAAGCGGACGGTCTCTTCAGCAGAGGCATCCGACCATCGCTGCGGTCGAGACGGGCTCCGGCATCGAGCCCCCTTGTTCTCCGCTCGCGAAATAACGTCGAGAAAATGATCATAAAAATATTCGCGCTTGCAATTGGCCAGTTAATGAATGAGCCAGATGGATAAATACGTGGAGATAATGGGCGTGGGCGCGCGTGGATTGATTCCGTCTCGGATGGCGAAGAGTCGGCGCAGGCGGAGTCGGGCGCGAGATGCTGCTGCCCCACGCCTGATGATGAATCGTGCGCAAGAGAGCCGATGTGCAGAATCTACACACACACTGACAGGCGCGCTCCCACACAGCGAGAGAGAAACACGGGGATGATGCTCCAGCCGGCTATGTCAGCGGCGCTTCGCGGTATTAATCTTCTAAAGGAGTGAGAGGGTTGGGGGAGAGGCAGAGGAGGGAGGAGAAATCTCGCCATAGAGGGGAGAGTCAGTCGTGTCTTCTTTAGACGAACCGCCCTCCCTGCTCAGCTGGATGAATAGGAAGCCGCCGTGGCTATCTCGAGGGAAGAGGAGCAGGAGGAAGAAGATTGGGAAGGAGAGAGCGTGGGAGGAGAGTGGAGGTGAGAGAAGGCGGACGCGCGGATAAGACAATTACCTCTCACCAGCCGTCCCCTGCCTCCATCCACAACTCTCGCTGCTGCTATCCGGAGTCCGGAGCTGTGCCCAGAGCGCGAGGCAGGGGAGTCAGCGAGCCTCTCACAGTCCTGACGACATCATCTCTCTCGCGGCCGCGCTCATTACATTAATTGTATCTCTGCTGCGCGGCCCAACCCCCCACTACTTCCTCCTCATCCGCTTATCCCCCCCCCCCATCGCCGTCTCCCCCCGCCTCTCACTCACCACCCACTGCTACCCCAGCACTCAGCCAACATCACCACCACCATCGCCGCCACCGCCTTCGCCACCACCCACGCACGACCCGGGGCTAAGTGAGAAGATTCGTCCGCTGGACGGAATGACGCGTTTTGTTTGTGCATTTAAATATTCCAGATAATCACGATTAAATGTGCATAATCACAGGCATAATCACATCAGAACCCGACTGCTACACATCATCAGCATTATCAATAATATCGCCCCCTCACTGTCGCAGTTCATAGCCCTCATCGTCATCATCACCTCGCGTAATGTAATTTGGAACGACTGCATCATTGATGGCGCTCGCTCCTCGTGGCACGGCGGGGGAGCCAGCTGCTCGCAATCGGAAGGTTACAAGTTCAATCCTGGACCATCATCTCTCATGGGTCGTTAAAATAGTACCACTTTGTGGGGGACTCGCCCTCACCATAGGAATTTCCACCACTGTCTCAGGGCTGTAAACGGGATTTGAGAACCGACGCCCGGTTGCTCTTTGAGCCGAACATCGCTCCGGCTTTGTGAACGCGGCTGCCACCTGCGCCTCGCGATTTCCCCGGAGGCTTCTCCCTCTCGTGCAGCGCGCGGCTGCCAGGCCCACGGGACTCTTCTCCCGGGGCACGCGAGGGGTCCGAATGCCCCCGACATCTTCATCACACAACACGAGTCCGGCTGATCTCCTGCGCCTCACATGAACATTCAAGCGGCGCTCATCTTCCGTTTACAGCGCTGAGCGAGTGGGGGGCATTCCTCATTCCCATGGTGGGACCGAATATGACAACGTGGCAGTCGTCATTATCAGACGTAATTAAACGTATGACGTGGAAACGTTTCGGGTAATTGTCCTAAATCAGCATCAATGTTTGCAGCACGTAATATCTACATATGAAAATTGACGTCATCATCATCATCACCACCACCATCATCGCCGTCGTCATTATCCGAAGCGCCCATGCCACCACACGTGTTCATCATCCTTGCGAAGGGATCTCGCAGAAGGAAGGAAGCATCGACACAGCGCAGTGGCATCAGCTGCGTGAGCCATGAACCTACTCTCATCACAGTTGTCTCAAAGTGTGACCCATCCTCAAATGAGCAGCGTTCAACCCCGTCGGTGGTAGCGAACCACCGACGGCAATTCCACATTTATGCGGCGGGGGACAGGCCATGCAAACGGAAACCACTTCCCAGGACCTCACCAGGCTGTGCCAATTTGATCGGCACTGGATAGATGATGGCGCGCTCAATACATCACAGAAACGGGAGCTTGTAGAACCATTATTTTAGAATCATTAACAATCATGACGAGTGCGATGAGGCTGCTGTAGGTTTCATTTCCCCGCATTATATTTACTCAGATGTAATTGAGTGCCGCGGAAATGGGGGTTGCTAAAGATCAAGACGGAGGCGCGGCGCGGAGCTGCGAGATCAAACGCCGAGTCACCAGGGCTCATGTCTCGCGGCGTCAGCCACCACACGCTGCGCTGGGAGCCATGAGCTGGCGTGGATGCTCATGACAGAGACGGAATATCATCACCATCATCATCATCACCATCATCATCATCAGCCGTGACCAATCCACTGCTGGATGAGGACCTCCCCCACTCCATCGCCATCTCTCACGATCCCGCGATACAACAATCCACTCAGAAGCTGCACGCGAGCTCATGCCACTGCACCAGGGGCCACCATCACTCGCGCCAAGCCCAAGCCCACTTACTCCTCTTGGCAGTAAATACGATGCCTTGAATCTGGGTATGCTGGAATATGAAAATAATACAAATAATGCATTTAATTTTCCAGAAAATCCTCAGAGTTTTAAGATTATGTAGTAGCAGGGTCCTTCATTGGATGTTTGGCCAATTCCATGAATGAGTGTTTAGCTTGCGGTAATAAATCCGACAACCCGGAGAAAACCCCCTCGCAGTCCAAGCTTAAAACACCTGAGATTCATAGGCAGCGTCCCATCTGAATACTAACCAGGCTAATACCAGCCTAGCTTCCCAAATTTGACGACATCAGGAGCATTTAGGGAGATGTGGTGGTTGTCTGAGGCTGTGATAGTGCTGGTGATGGTGCTGGTGCCGCTGCAGGTGAAACTGGTGTTGATGTTGCTGCTGTTGATGGTCTCGATGGTGCAGGTGATGCTGGTGATGATAGTGATGGCGATGGTAGCGCTGATGCCTGTATTGATGATCGTGTGTAAGGGGTACTGCTTGAGAATGACACATTGATGCACCCTAATCGCGTAATTATTGCGAATGGCTGCGCTCTAAGTGTGGGCCCCTATTGTCGAGTGGCGAGAAACAGGTGATTACTGATCCTCGTGATTGCTGGCATCGCTGCTGCTGCTGCTGAACAACAACGGGGAGGCGTCTCGACAGCGCGTGGCACAGCAAGGCTTCTGTCGAGATTGATTTCATTCCGGTTGCTGAGCACAGGCCGAAAACACAAAGCGGCCGGCAACAAGCAGAACTATTACCGTTTTACTAGGACTGAGCACGGCGATTATAAGGTCTTGGGGAAAGGAGACGCTGAGAGAATGCCAAAATAGAGCAGTGTGAGGGAAAAAGCAGAAATAGTGTTGTGACCTGCAGTGGGGTGGGTGAGTGTGTGAGTAAATGGGTGGGTGAGTGAGTGGGTGAGTGAGTGGGTGGGTGTGTTGCTGTGACCTGCAGTGTGGTGGATAAGATAAAAGCAGTGATCTTCCATTTGCCTTACAGACCAAAGGAACAATTTCTGTTCGTGAGCTCCTATAAACGCCAGTATGGAGCACGAGGTGGTGTGGTCAGTATCAGACCTTTCCGCTTTTGTCTCCCCAGTGCTGATGGTAACACAGTGCATAAAGTAATATTTTAGGCCGAGTCAACCCAAGAGAGGCCGAGTACCAATACGGATATCATTCACCATTGTTGTTAGCCATGGCCTGCAATCGAACTCAGGTTGCTGCGTTGGTAACGTCGTGCGCTAATCACCATACCACGCTTCCCAACCGCCATTCGCCCCCAAGTGGTGGTGCCGCCACTACGGCGCTTGTGCAAGTGTAGTAAGTATATGGAGGCTTGACGACAGGATCGGAGGCACACTTATTTATTACACCAACACAGTTATTACAGGTCACTGGGCTACAGGGATTTCTCGACAGCTAACCCCTCTAACCTATACCAATTCCTCCACTACGGGACTAGGGGAGGCTATCTGTCCCAGCTTGGTTAAGCTGGGATCCCGGCTCCCTGAGTCACCAGACCAGCTTCGTCTGGGCTCTCGGGGCCACGCCACCGGCTTGCCCTGGTCGGCCCTTATAAGGACAGCGAGCCAGGGGAGCTCTGGGGCCTACACTAGCAGGTCTTCCGTCTTCTCTGGTTAAAGCTGAGTCCCGACCTCGAGCCCTCGAGCTCATCACTTTTTATAGGACTCCCCCCGAGGGGGGGCCCGTGGGGGATGCACATTCGGACGTCGGTGCGAGCGCCACCCTTGTGTACGGCCGTAACCCCGCCCCTTGTGTTTGTTGGCCATCCGTGGCCATGCATAATCACACCTCAACATTCGTAACCATGCGCAATTACACCTCTACACAAGGCTAGTTGCACATTGAGGCTACGTGAAGTGTCAAAGACTCACTGGCAGGAGGTTCACGGAACGGACCCAGGTGCCATGGGTTGACAGAGATGATTGGCAGATGCACCGACTGTGCTCCCCACTGTGCCAACTTGCTGCGCTTTAGCGGTCTGCTCATTGTTGTTGGAGGGCGACTGCCTCCAACTGCAAAGTAGCGTCCTTCACGAACCTCCTCCACTGAGGCGATTTGGACACCGCTTGGTACCAGGCATCGTCAAGTCCAATCAGCTCCAAATTATTCTGTATCCCATCAGTCCATCTCCTCTGTAGCCAGTTCCAAGCCCGTTTAGCCCCCTCTATCCGGCCAAACAGAAGTTGCTTGGGCATGCGGGCTACATGACCCAGCCAACGAAGCCTTGCCTGCCGAGGAGCTCACTGATGGTAATGTGTCCAGAGATTTCAAGGATCTGTGAGCTCCTCACACTGTGATCCAGTCTGCAGGTTAAACTAAAGATGGATCGTAGGAAGGCCAGCCTGAATGTTTCAAATCGGTGCAGATGTTCATTTTGAAGGCTCCATGTTTCGCAAGCATAGAGAAGGGAGACCATAACTGAGGCTGAGAAGACCCGGAGCTTCGTATGAAACAATAGACCAGGCAGCTTCGACACAGCAAGACATCTGCTGCCAAACCGGAGCTGGGCATGAGCACACTGCTCAGGAACTCTATCAACTGCCCTATCACTCATGCAGAGTAGAGGGAAGTGAGCATTCAATGACATAAACTACCCAGGCAGGTTTATAAGACCCATCTCTTAGAAGCAAGGTCCATTTTCAGCAGTAGCTCCTCCAACTGCATCTCAGAGTTGGCAGAAAGCACCAGACATGTAAGAGCCATAAGACATAAAGTGAATGTATTGTAAATTGTTGTTTTACCCTTTTATCTGGCAACAAAACTGACACCTTTTTTTTATCAGGAGTCATGTTTGCATTGACCACAATACCTGCGGTCGGAATGCAAACAAAAAACACAACTCTGATAATGTATGCACTGTCCTTGAAATGTATTGGTCCACACCCGAGACAGCTTATTTTCGAGCCTAGTCTCACATGGTGTTGGACCAGATGACGCCAAATGCGCCTGCAGTCATGAAAGCTTCAAATCAAGATTATCTATATGTATAAAAGTCAAAAATTGTTTGTGGGTTTGTGGCAGGGTTTGTGGATTTGTTGGTGAGTTCGCGCGCTTGCGAAGGATTTGGCTCTCCAGCGGTGGGGTCACGCAAAATACAAAGAGGCATGCACCACGCCGTAAGCCCCGCCGTGAGCAAGCGCTGCTCCTTTTTCACATTCGTTAACTTTTAATTAATAAAATTAGCGATTTAGTGCGATTAGTGTGCACTCCCTTTTATTTATTTATTTATTGCGCGTGCATGACTGTACCAACTCACGCGCCTTTGGTGGGGGAGAAGGCCCATACCAAGTCGCAGGCCTTTGGTGGGAGTGAGGGGGACATTCTTTCGGGTTAAAAATGCTATAAAAATACACTAAACGCTCAGGTAAATTCTTCACTGTATGATGTCCCCCCCACCCCGATGCATGCAGTTACTACTATACAGTCGGTAGATGCTACCACTATAGGCTGGAGATATTACTGCAGAGCGACCGGGGAGATCGTGGCTGGAGGGGGGGGGGGGGAGTCAGGGCTAGCAGCCCAGCCCCAGCCTGCCAAGGTGCCACCTTGGCCGGCTGGACAATCTAGGCGAGGCCGGAGGCTCTACTCGGGACTAGGTCTCACCACGCCACTCTGTCAGGTGAGTACTTTGTGCTATAGAGTCGATAAACACTGATATAAAGTCAGCATGTACTACTGTAGTGATAGCAGGTACCGTCAGTCGGTATGCACTGCTGTAATCATAGCAGGTACCACCACAGTCAGTACGCACTGCTGTTAGAGTAGTTTTGAAATTTTTTTTTGGCCCGGGCAACATATAAGCTAGCTTATAATATATGCCAAATATTATTTGGGTCGTTCGGTAAATTCACGTAGATAGGTAAAAAAATAATAAAAATTGGAAGCTATTAAGCTAACCCCCCCCCCCCCTCTTTTCCTGAAGACGACCGCTTGTGTTGCGATTGAAACGCCATCGTTATTTTCTTTTCTTTGAACCTATCTACGTGACTTTCCTGCAGTCACGAAAGCTTTAAGTCAAGATTTAATATATGCCAAAGAGATACAAAACTGTTACCTTAGGCGAATGGAATGCTGAGCCATCGACTCACGGAGGAGGGAGGATTTGGGGAGCACGACTCAGTGGATGCCTCCCATCAAACAAACACAAAGATCCCCCCCCCGTATAACTGTAACGGCACATGTGGGGGGGGGGGGGGGGTTGGCCAGCACAACGCTGGGCCGCCTTTGTATCTCTAGCGAAAATGCTTACACAACGCACTAGGTACTCAGTTGAGGCTGTGAGCGGGGATCGAACTCGCGTCGCTGGTTTCGTAGCACAGCGAGCAAACTGCAACACTACCGCTCCCCAGAGTGTATGCCTCCCGTCATGCACACACACACAGACGCACATATGTGCCAGTGTGAGCTAGACACGTTATTATGGAGGCATGTATCTGTGAAGACACACGCTGCTAGCTGTGATAAGAGATGTCAATTTTACAAACATACAACCTTGACTGGAAAGGGCTGGCGAGCGGAACAGGGCAGGCAGAGGGGACACGCGTTGTGTGCATCCCATCGCCCACAGTTTTTGTCAAAAGACGGTGGAAAAATAAATAGAGCAGCATTGACATAAAGTGTTGAATGCATGAGAGATCCACACAGGAAAACATTCGTGCTGCTCTTGTTTACCCAGAAAAAAATACGTCTGATAGTAGTAGGTTTTTACCCTTTCAACTGGTACAAAACTGACACCTTTATACAAGGCATCATGTTTGCAATAACCACAACACAAGCAGTCAAAATGCACACAAAAAGAAAAAAACTCTGATAATGGTAATGATATGCAGTCCTTGAAGTTGATTGGTCCACACCCGAGACAGCTTTCTCGGGTGTGAAATGACGTCAGCCGCTAATAATTATGAATGGGGGGGGGGTCCATTTGGAGGACGTCACCTTATGATTATTAATGAGGGGGACTGTTCGATGTGTAGGGACGTAACCTGTTCATGATTATTAATGAGGGGGGCTGGTCGACGTGGAGTGACGTCTCGAGCGTTGCACACAGACATTCTTGGCTCATTATAGTAGCTAATAATAATGGCGGGGGGGGGGGGGGGCGTCCATTTGGAGGACGTCACCTGCTCATGAATATTAATGAGGGGTGACTGGTTGGTGGAGTGACGTCACGAGCGTTAAGGACAGCCATTCCTGGGTGATTATAGTATGTATGCTAAAGTAATAAACTACAAAATATTTAGAAGTGAGTCGTTTTCGAGATTTACGATTATACTGTAAATCATATTCTTGGTTCTTTCGGTAAAGTCACGTAGATATAAAACAAAAATCTAAATTAAAAGCAAAAAATCCACGACGTTTCGATCGCAATACAAGCACAAGAATTCCTGCAGTCATGAAAGTTTTTACTGTAAATCAATTTCACGAATCAGCCCCCAAATGTAGTCTCCTATCATGTTCTCGTTATATTGTCCTTGGTAGTGGCGTTCAAAGTCCAGTATATCCTGGTGGAAGTGCTCGCCTTGCTCCTCCGAGTACGCTCCCATGTTCTCCTTGAATTATTCAAGATGAGCATCAAGGATATGGACTTTGAAGGGACATCCTACAGCCCATTGTGCCGTAGTTCTTCACCAGTCTCAACCAGCTCCACATAGTCTTCGACCTTGTGATTGCCCAGGAAGCCACGAACCACTGCGACAAAGCTGTTCCAAGCCGATTTCTCCTTAATAGTGAGCTTCTTTGGGAATTCATTGCACTCCAGGATCTTCTTTATTTGTGGTCCAATGAAGACATTGGCTTTGCCCTTTGCCTCAGACAGCTTAGGGTATAAGTCTTGAAGGTACTTGAAGGCTGCTGACTCCTTATCTACAGCTCTGACAAATTTTTAATAAGGCCCATTTTGATGTGCAGTGGTGGCATCAGCACCTTCGGGGGGTCCACCAGTGGCTCCCACTTGACGTTGTTCCTCCCCACAGAGAGCTTGGTCCGTTGCGGCCAGTCCTGCCTGTGGTAGTGCGCCTTGGTGTCCCTGCTGTCCCAAAGGCAAAGATAACAGGGAAACTTGGTAAAACCGCCTTGGAGATCCATCAGGAATGCCACCATTTTGAAGTCTCCGATGACTTCCCAGCCGTACTCATCATATTTCAAGGCGTCCAGCAAGGTCTTGATGCTGTTGTAATCCTCTTTGAGGTGCACCGAGTGAGCCAGGGGAACTTGTTACTATTATGGAGCAGCACGGCTTTGAGGCTCCTGGATGAGCTGTCAATGAAGAGGCGCCACTCATTCTGGTTACAGGCGATTCCGATTGCATCGAACAGACTGATCACATTGTGGCAGAAACAGAGCCCATCTTGACGGGTGAAGAAGCTGCAAAAAAGTTGGTGGCGCTTCCTCTGATCTGTGACTTGCACACTTTTATCCAACATGTTCTACTGCTTGAGCCTAGACGTCAAAAGCTCGGCATTGGACTTGGTGAGACCAAGATCTCTGATCAAGTCGCTGAGCTCTTTTTGATTGGGGTAGTATAGGTATATCTCAACTTCACCTCTGAAATTGTCGTCTGGATCTGTCTTCCTCGCTCTCTGACTTGCTGCTCTCTTCTAAAAACAGCTGCTCTCTCTCCGGAGGAGTGGGTACGGGGAGCTCATGGCAGTGTGGCACCGGGGCGATGGATGAAGGTACGTGATAGCAGGTGCATTCTTGCCAGTCCGACGTTTGGAAGGGTCCACCATGCAGAAGTAGCAGTTGCTTGAGTGGTCAGTGGGTTCCCGCCAAATTCTTGGGATAGCGAACTTCATGGCTCTTTCCCCTGTGTACCATCCTACAAAAATATTTATTTCACCAATGACTAATGTGTAAGATTCTCGCAACATTTTTCAAATGATATATTTTTTCATTAACATTAAAAACTCTAGATTTGAAGCTTTCGTGACTGCAAGGATTCATATTCTTAGGTTTTTTCGGTAAAGTCACATAGGTAAAAAAATTAAAATTAATACAAGTAAAATAAAAATAAAAATCACGTTTCCGAGGCAACACAAGCTTCCGTCTTCAGGTGGAACTGTCACAGCACGATTGCTGCATCAAGTAAGAGAAATTCCAAGAAAACAGTCCTTGAATATATACTGATTGAGGGTGGGAGGAGCCAAGGCAGGCACCTGGATATTATTATTGTGAGGTTCGGTGCGGCTGAAGCACGCTGCTAGGAATGAGCCTTTGTTGTGTAGACTGGTTTAGGCTGTCACGTGGCTTGGGCAGGATTGGGTTAAGGCTGTCACGTGGCTTGGGCAGGACTGGGTTAAAGCTGTCACGTGGCATGGGCAGGACTGGGTTAAGGCTGTCACGTGGCTTGGGCACGACTGGGTTCAGGCTGTCACGTGGCTTGGGCAGGATACATCACACGATGGCCGATGGACGAGGCTGGGGATGGAATGGGAGCCAAAGTCGAGAAGACGCCCACGAGCACAACCACCTTGGAGATGGAGCAGTGAGATCAGCTATGAGGCAGGAGATGAAACGTGACATCACAGGACCATTCAGCAGTGGAATGAAAATGTCTCAGGACGATGAGTCTCAAAGTATAATTGGATTATAATTGCCTGATAATGCTGATGGTAGTTATGACTACAACACAATCCACAACAGCACGATTGTACAACAAAAACACTACGGTAGTGGAGGAATTGTATGCAGATGTCTAGAGATAAGAAAAATATACATTTGCCATGATTTTTTATTTCAGATAAGAGATGTGGCTCTTGATGAAGATGTCCTTCATTTCATTTACTACATCATAAATTAATTTATTGAAAAACTAACAGGAACGTGTGCACATTTACTCTAATGATAAGTGTGATACATGGTAAAGGAGGTATCATTTTTCATCTAATTCATTTTTCAAACGGTTTTAATGAAATAAACATGGTTTGAAACACAAACTGTGAACCCATGGACTGTATATCTTTGAAAATAATCCAGTTTTCAAGTTATTGTTACTATTCTGTCTGCTCTTTTGTTACAAAATCACAAGAGAATTTAAGAAAAAATCTATCGGGAGCATAACCCACACGTAAACCAACACTTGCCATCATCGTTATTTAATGCAAAGACAGATCCACCACCAGGTCACAACCGCCACGTCGCCTATACAACCGTCCGTCGCGCTCCTTAGCACCATGTATACGAGAGGGTTTTGATTAAGAGGCTCGGAGGGTCGCGAAAGCAGGCACACAGCCCGCGACTCCCGCGCGCACCAGCGGGATCCACCACGTCGACACAGCGACCGCACCAGGGCCAGTGTTGGGCCAGCGACGGTCGATTTTGGTCAAGACGCATTCACTGCACTACAATGGCTCAATATACATCACTACCGGTAAGTGGATTTCATTGACCCAGCATTGGCTGCCATCGGTCAACACAGACCCTAACACTGGATGAAATTTGGCCCACAAGTGAGAGCCCCCCCCCCCCCCGAGTATTGTGGGCCCACCACAAAAGCGGAGGTGGATCTTGTTCCCTGCGAGTAGCAGAGAACACGTGAAAACAACACCCTGTCTGTTCCGAGACCCCACTAGCATCAGTTTTATGCGCAAATTCCAACAGCGAATGTGAATTATCTTATTTTATATTTATCGAGCATCTTAGCTCAAGCCGATATACATCGTTAAAAAGCTGTAAGAAAATGAGTGATTTAGATGTTGTGGACGTGCAAGGGCCATGGAATGAGTGACGGTAACAGAGGGGATATAGGGGTCACAAAAGGGCACAGGAGTGGAGGGGTGAGCGGAGGAATTGGTAATAAAAGAAAAGGTGAACATTACGAGAGGAATCAAATGAGGTGAAGGAGGGGGACTGCTTAATGTGCAGGGGAAGTTGATTCCAGTGGAGGGGTGCAAAGAGTGAGAAAGATCGAAAACGGCCACCTTTGTCTCACCAGCACCAGTGGCCAAGTAACAGGAGGGACAGAGAAACAGAGAAGATGGTGAACGAAGAGAGGGGACATAAAAAGAGATGATGGAGGCGAGATGAGGAGGGGAGCAAGGCCATGGAGAGAATTGAAGGCGAGTGTAAGGGATTTGAAAAGACAACGGGTGCAGTCAACCGGAAGCCAGGAAAGTTGTGATGGGTAAATGGGAGACTGAAAATAATTTGGGGAGAGCATAGGCAGGGAAGCAAATGGTCAAGCACGGTGACCTTTGTCGTGTTTTGTTTAGGTAGATTTGTAATCCGTGCAGCAGCAGTGGCAGCGGCCGGTGAAAACGCACCTGGAGGCGATACGCGAACACGGGACGGGTTTATATTTCTGCCGTAATACCATTTGCAAAGGGCAGCGATTTACATTAAATAAAGAAATAAAATGATGAGCAGGGAGCCACGAGCTCGGCTCCCCAGGGTCACCCCCCCCCCCACCCCACCAGCTTCCTCCACCGAACCAGGCCTCATGCTCATTTAGTCGCATAATTCAAGAACACCGCGGCACCCATGTGCATAACGATGCAAACCAACCCACACCCCGCATTTCCATGAATCGTCAAATTCTGGTGCACGAATCGGGAGAAGAGGGCGAGGAACGATTTGTTGACGTAAGTGCAGCACCCCCTATTGGCTGCAGAGGTCATGTGACCCTATTACCACAAGAACTGAAAATAATTCTGAGACACATGATTTTATTCTTGTACCACGAGCATAATCAATTTTAATGAGTGAACTGGAATCATCGTTAGCGACGCATAATGCGGACACCAACGTTGCTGTCATCAATGCAGGGATTCTCAAGCAGAGGTTGGTGGAACCCGAGGGGAACACAGATCATACTCGGGAACAGGGTCACCAAAGGATAAATAAGGGGTCCCAAGATGATTCTCAGAGCACCTATAAAGAAAGGTGTGCAATCCTAGAAAGGTTGGAAACCTCTTAACTGTACAATACTTAGAAGTGCAAAAGCTATGAATTGTAATTCGTTTTTGTTGTACAAATCTCAAACGTCGCACGTAACAATCGCAGCAAGGCCGATTCCACTTCCCAAAGGCCCAACTTGTACATTGTGAAATACCGGCAAACAGGGAAACTAGCATTTGTACACTTAGGCGGTTTGCATATTGTGATAATGGAATACTAGTAAAGGATACGACCGACTTAAAATGAAATTAAACAGATTCTCGAAAAATCTAAAAGCAAAACACCTCAGCTATACATTATTGCTGAAAACTGTACAGATGCATCGTGCACGCGACCTCCTATCCGTTATGGGCAATGCTGTACACACGCACACACACGCTCGCTCACGGCAAAACCAGTCACCGATTTCATTCTGCATACGGTGAAAACCAGCATAGAGGATGTATGCTCTTGTAAACAAGTTTGATGCAAACGTCTTGATGTGTAGCACCCTCGACAACTCGACAACGCTCTCCCTTCTCTTCACTCGGTCTCCACTGTCTCCTTGGCTTGTTCCAAATTATTCCCACGAGCAGTCACGCTTGGCCTCTCGGCATTGGGCCAAATGTCACCAAAATCCCGGCGAATCAAGTTCCGTGGGCTCCGGTAGCTTCGGTGAATCCAGTGACTCCGATAGGCGGCGAGCGTATAATTCTGTGTTCGGCCCACGTGAGCGAGCGAGCGTGCCGTAGGGTGGGTTTGGGGGGCGAGTGTTTTGTTCCAAGTGGTAACGCCATGCTCTGGGCTGGGTGGACCGAGGAGGCAGAGGATGAGGTCGTTAAGCGCAGGTGTCCGAGTTCTTGAACATGAGGATGGAGTTGTAGATCTTGAGCGCCGGGCCCAACTTGATGCTCATGATCCTCACTAGATCCGTCTGGTTGAGCAGCAGCAGCGCCTGCCCGTCAATTTGCTGTCACAAGCACGGCGCGCGCGAAAAACAAATCACATGCACGTGCGCTGCTGGGAGTTTGTTGTAGTTTGCACTGCCCGTGAATCACACAGACATACCGAGTCTGGTACTGGGTGCGTTCATGTGATATCGATTGTACATCGGTGATTGCAGAGGCCAGCCACGGCGCAGAGCTGCAAGGGGCACCGAAGATAAGTGCGGAGAACGCAAGTTTTTTTACTCCAGTTTTACTGATGCTCACGTTATTGATTAATGTAGGAATAAAGGTTATTCATTACTGGCCTGACACAGCACAAATATGTGGCCGAATTCGTGAAGGCCACTTCCCTGATAGGCCAGGCTCTCGGCCGGAGGAACGCAACGGCGTGGGTGCTTAGATTTCCTGGCGCAGAGCGACGCAGCTACTAACCTGCTCGTGAAACATGCGTGCCTGCTCCTGGCATCCAGGCAGCGTCTTGATGAAGCTTGCCACCTGACAGAGCGAGGACGGTGAAAGCGTCATCAAGGGGGTGGGGAGGGAGGTGGGCGGTGGGTTGTGCAGTGAAAGTTCCCGAGAGAAACCACAAAACTGGCAGCGGTTAGGCTCTATCTGCGGCCAGAAGTGAACTTCTTCTTTCGTAAGCCATGTAAGAAACAGTTTATATAAATGTCATAGTTGAATGTTAAAGTCCTTCAACCAATCCAAGGCGGCAGTAGATGCTGTATTGATTGCAGCGATACCACCATTGTGTGCATGGATGGCGTACTCGTCAGTAATGTGTTTGATGTTGAACTAAGCCCACACGCTAGAAGCGATGTGTTTTTGTGGTCAGATTACCGAACGTTGGCCATCTATTCCGGTCAGTTTCTTGTCGTGTTTGCTTGCTTTTGACATTACCTCAAATCTTTTTCTTGCCTAGATGATTGTGGGCTTAGTTCCCTCTGAACCCCGATCATTGTGGTATGTCATGTTCCAGGAGTGCGGTGTGAGATGTGTAAGAAGTCCATAGCGTGGTTCTTAATCGGCAAGCGACGACGGAAGAAACTATCAGTGCGGAAATTCAACTCGATCATATTGTGCCAAGCACGCCGCCTCATTTGATTAAATTTTCGTTTTTTCCCATCTAATTTGAATTCTCGATTGCTAATATCCTAATCGTAACATTAGCAGTTAATTTGCATACACGGTAAATATTAGATCACTTAACTTCCTATGTATGTATATCGGGAGATTAACCAATTTTAATAATTGAGCTGATGCATCGTTACTTGCCCAAGTAGTTGAGCAGTGAGTTGTCATGTTGTTTTGCATGAGGCCTGTGCGGTGCCGTGCGGTGGCTCAGTGGGGTGCGGTAGAGATTAGTGCGGCTGTTTATCGCGTGCATCGTCGTCGCCACCTCTTCCGTGCCCCAGGACGCCACGCGGCTCGCCGTGAGCCCCGCCACCTCTGGCAGCAGCTTGCCGTGCTGCTGCCAGACGAGCGGCAGCTCGCGCGCCGGATGCGCCGAGAGCGCCGACATGAAGACGGACTGGTGCAGTGTCTGCTGCAGACAGTGCTCCTCTCGCTCTGCACACGCACACGTGGACACTTGTAACATCCTGCAGAGATATTCCTCGTCCACAATGGATGCACAGACAAAGCCCGCAAGACACACAGACATAACTCACACGAGGATAGACAGCACCGAGCGTACAAGCCACGCATGTACCGGCACACAGACGCACATGGACGTGCCTCTACCACACAGACAGAAACAGATACACCGAGCATAATGCACACTTAGAGACAGGGCTTAATTTCACACTCAATATTGACAATCAAACGCAAGTTTTTTTTTAACCACATGAGAACTCACAAGACCAAGATGGGCTGTACTTGTATACATGCACTGGTGTCGATGTTTTCAAAGCAGGTACTAATGACCTGTGTTTAAGTTAATCCAACACAACAATCTCGAAGTGTCATTGTCGAGAATATTCATCACGTGATAATGCCTCCCTTCTCATGTTTTTGCCTCCACACATCATATCAGCTGCAAGGCCTTCTGGGAGTGCATCTTATCAACAGCATTGGATCAACGCAATCAAATTCTGGACCAGTTTCGACATTCAGGGTCTCATCAGCAGAGTTGGGTGTGCTTCAACCAATGCTGGTGAATCACCTGATGTTGGTGAATCACCTGATGTTTATAGGCAAGGGACCTTTCTATAAGATATGGGTTCTAGTTCATCTGCTCCGCTTATATTCGACATAAACCACCACGTAACCGAAGCCTGGCCACAAGCTCTGTGGTTATAAGATGGCAAAAAACAAGATTGTGGTAAATTGCATTCATCCATGACACTTCTCATCCCGCAACAATCTGGCATCCACCTACGTTGAACATCTCTTTCCTCTGTTCAAGCCCCTCAAGATACACGCAACGTTACCTTTAGTCCCTTTATTTACATGTTTACTTGCTTTAAACACGCAGGCTTTCGCGACCAATATCATCCATAACATAGATTGTTTTGGGTTAGATCGCGTGAATATAAATGTAACGTTAAACATGCCACCACCAGACACAGGGAGAGCAAGTCCACAACATTTATGATCGGAGTACTGGATTTGCTCTCCAACACACCGGTGTGCTGTACTAGTAACGAATTGGTATGTTCTGTTTAGGTGACAAACCTTACTAATTGGCTGTTTCTGATGGTGGCGGGTTTAACGACACATTTATATTTACGCGATTTAACCACAAAAAATTACTGTGTTTGACTTTGTACCCCAGCTTTGCTTAAAAATAAAATATTTCAGTTTCAAATGACACGTGATAAACCTAGCAGAGATAAATAACAGCCGCCATTCGCCACGAAATCACCACTGCTTGTGCCAGGCTATGTACATTTTAAGGCCACATGAAGTGTCGAATGCCCGCTGACAGGAGGTCACGGGACAGACCCAGGTGCCATGGGTTTACTGAGATGGCTGGCAGATGCACCACGTGTGCCCTCTACTTTGCCATGACACACCTAGCACACACACATGGCACGCCTGGCACATATACACACATGGCACAAAGAGACACCTGGCACAGAGATACACCTGCACATAGACACACCTGGCACGCGAACACACCATGAGCTACAGATGAACTGTAGGTTTACAGAGTCAACTGGCGGTGGTGGTAGTGGTGGTGCTACCTTTGGCTTCACGCTGCTGTGCCAGTTCCTGCTCACGCTTGAGCTTCAAGTATTTTGGCGGACGGCCAACCCTGCGAAATAACCACCGCTCGCTCGTTTATTAGCTCATTAGCGACGTTCTCCCGCAGCAGTAAAAAAAAGTTGACAGAGCACAATCGCTAGGAGCACTCTAATTGTTAAGCGAGCGAGCTCTTCCATAATAAATTATAATTATTATTTAAACGTCCACAATCAGGATCGTAAAACCACGGGTGGTCTGACGATACATTTTCCATCCGCTGCACTGTGCATCACCGCGTCATTCTTATGGGGAATATTAAAAACCCATTTGCCCGTGGAAAGAACAGCCGGAATTAAGATTACAGGTTAATTAACCCTGTATTAACTTAATATATATGCAATGTATCATTGATAACGGAAAGTGCAACCTGCTAAACCGTAGGAGCCAAACACAAACATGAAAAGGTTATAGTCTTGGTTCTTTCGGTAAAGTCACGTAGAAGGGAAATAATAAAATAATAAAAATATAAAACAATAAAATTCTCACGACGTTTCGACTGCAACACAAGCAATCATCATCACCTGATGATGACCGCTTGTGTTGCGGTCGAAAGAACCAAGAATATGAATCCCTGCAGTCACGAAAGCTTTAAAGGAAGCGGTTAATTAAGTGCCCCAACATCAAGCTAAGAATGTATTATGAGGGAGCGAAGTAATGCCCACTACACCCCCACACGCCAGAGGGGTGATCTCGGCCGTTATCCCTGTCAGGAGCTCTCCCGCCGGACTCGAATCCAGGGGAAGCGAGGGATGCAGAGACGAAAAGGCCACCATAGTAAAAACCAAGGTGTCTCCGCAAAATACTCCACTCACTGGCCCAGCTCTCACTTTCCAGCACAATTATCTTAAATTGCATCTCGCTAGTCACTCTCACTCTCCATCGGCTGGAATTGCCACGTAACGTTAAAACTCAATGTCAAACGTAACAAATACGAGTTAAGAACATGTCATTCAGTTCCACATACATACATACAAATGGGGCGTAGGAATTTGGGAGGAAGCGAAGACAGAATTTGCTTAGCTGAAAAAACACCCCCCAGACCACCGTGGTACAGCTTGCGCCAGACTGCACGGCCGTTCCTGCAAGCAAACCTTGCGGCAAAAAAGCAGCCAATTACACGCCAGGCAAACCGGGGACGTGGGAGCTGGCCACGAACTAGCCTTGGATAACGCTGCCCCATCGGCGGTGGTTTTTGCATCGCGGCATCCATACCTTGTGTTTGTTCACACTCACGCTGCAACTCGTAGGAATTCACGTGTGAGGACGTGCACATGCATTTATTAAAAATCTACCTTACGCGTCGTGCCCACTATAGAATACACAAATTAAGAGATCGGCGTGAAGATGACGATGATGATGTGACCAGTGAAAACTTGAGAAAGCGTGGCCGATACAACCGATTTGAATTGCAGACCGTGATGAGTATCGTAATGCGGCGGAAGTGCGATACCTGTGAGCATCACTTAGGTACTGGGGGTATCCCTCGAGGTGCATCACAAATGTGGACACAAGCGATACATTCTGTTACGTCTCATTTGTATCATCTCATCTTTACTGTCTCTCTTGATTGTTCAGTTGCATTTGTACTGCTCGCCTGATCTGCGTTCCGCCGGGAACATCTGTGCGATGCTCCTCAGGGTATGCTCCATCAGTGGTGCAGGTGAACCACAAGAGTATGAGCAGGTGAACCACTGTCCGCTCGAATGATGACTCGGATCATCAGTCGCCCGAGTCGGCTGTGACCGCCACATGCCGCACGCGAGCAATCAGCCGAAGAGAACGCAGCCCGCTCACCTGCCGTAGAGCTTGGGCTTGCGCCCCCTTGAGGGCGACATCAGCGACGCCTTCTTGGACAGGGGTGAGGCAGCGTCGTCTTCGGGGGACGGCGGGGAGGGCGGCTCCGACGGGGCCCCGGGGTCGTCGGGGTCCGGCTCGGCGCCGAGGCCGCCCCTGCCCGTCCCGGGAATGTCTACGCCACTCGCCGGGCTGCTTCAAGTGAGAACGTAGACGCGTGCATCAGCCGCTTGTGTAAATGCGGCGCCGTGCACCACGGCCAGGAATTTAATCCAGGAAACCGGTGGTGGTAGCGCAGGGTGAGAAACCACTGCCCTGCCGCTCGCTAAGCTCACACACAAAGGTCCCCCACATAGCGAGAGAGACTGCTGTTAGCACCAACAACAGCATGGAGCACAAGGTCGTGTGTCCGGAATCACACCCGCCCACTTTTGTCTCTCCACTGGTGACATTAACACACAGTAATGGATATGCATTCAAGACTGAGTTAAGCTAGGAGAGAGGCCCAGGACACGTTTAGACACCAATTGCCACTGATGCAAACTATGGCCAGAAATGTAATCCAGCTATTTAGGTTCGTAGTGCAGAGTGCTAACCACGGTGGCATCGCTGTCCACACAGAAACACACACAGATACTACCGCAGTTTCCTCCCAAACGAAATACTCAGATGAAATTTCACACTGAAACAATACAGAGCTCTCCTGAGAAAGAGTCTTGAGACTCAGTGAGGTTTTCCTAGATAAATAAAGAGCATTACAGATTGTGCGCAAAGTACTGTGACCATTGCGATACCTGGTTAGATATAGCTGGAGGGAAATACAAAGAAAACAAATTTTATTTCGATTTAAAGCTTTCGTGACTGCAGGGATTCATCTTCTTGGTTCTTTCGGTAAAGTCACGTAGAAGGGAAGTAATAAAATAATAAAAATAAAACAATAAAACAATTCTCACGACGTTTCGGCCACAACGCAAGCAGCCGTCCTCAGGTGAAGAATGAGACAATGCCAAGCTAGGAGCTTATATATAAGCTGCGTTGGAGGTGGAAGAAAGAGCGCCTTAACAAAAGAATGTGCATATGAAGAGGAATTTAGCATATACATGGAAAATGCGTAGGAGGTGGGCGGGGGGGTTTCAAAGTCATATTATGCCCATGCATTATGCAGGATCAACAGCACCAAGGGGGGGTGCAGGGATTAGCAGTAACAAAGGAAAGGAATGTTAATGATATGTAGCTGCAGTTACTCAACAACCACGTAGTTTATACTTTAGTTTTCTACGTGGTTGTTGAGTAACTGCAGCTACATATCATTAACATTCCTTTCCTTTGTTACTGCTAATCCCTGCACCCCCCCTTGGTGCTGTTGATCCTGCATAATGCATGGGCATAATATGACTTTGAAACCCCCCCGCCCACCTCCTACGCATTTTCCATGTATATGCTAAATTCCTCTTCATATGCACATTCTTTTGTTAAGGCGCTCTTTCTTCCACCTCCAACGCAGCTTATATATAAGCTCCTAGCTTGGCATTGTCTCATTCTTCACCTGAGGACGGCTGCTTGCGTTGTGGCCGAAACGTCGTGAGAATTGTTTTATTATGTTTTATTTTTATTATTTTATTACTTCCCTTCTACGTGACTTTACCGAAAGAACCAAGAAGAAAAAAAACAAATTTTACTTAAGAAGCATAAGAGCCTGAAGAACCTGTTAGTGCCATTGAGTTGCGTCAAATGTCCATCTGACATTTTTAGTCCTCACAGATGAAATTTGCCAATTTAACTGAAAAACTAAAATTAATATGATGGAGATTGTGCAGGCATAGCTGACTGGGTTCAGACCATCAACTCACGACATGGGGGGCAAATACCCGGATTACAACTCAGCATTTCACCTGTGTTGACTCGGGGTCTCTGACATGGACATGATGAATTCCCAAGGGCTACTCGGCCACCTTCATTTTGTACCAAAGTTTTTAACTATTCACGCATCATCATCATCCTACCATCTGCGCACGCTGTGTTGTTAACATCCAAGCATGCGTGTGAGCATGTCTTTGTGTGTAAGCACTGTGCTATGAACCAGGCTACCTCAGTGACTTTTCCAGCCACAATTAACAGCAGTGACAATTATCTGAAATGGTTCTAAGTCGATTCAACCTTAATGAGTACTTAGTGTCGTTTGTAAACATCAGCATTGGGGAGACAAAGGCGGCCATGTGAGGTTCTAGCCACACCATGCCCTCATGTGCCTTGATGGCCTTTGTAGGAACTCACAAACAGAACTTACCCAAACAGTCTGGTCAGCTATATGGGGAATCTTTGTGTATGCGCGTGAGCGTATGTGCAGTGGTTCGGTGGATTGGTGATTACAATTCTATGGGCTGCATGGTTTGGCAGCCGACTACCATTGTTATTGAGCTGATCTAACCCATGTCTTTCAATCACCCATAACTCTCTCGGCAGCTGGGGATGGTTCTGGCCACACCACAGCACTTGTCCCAGCAGTTTGTACAGCGACAGCAGTGTGTTTGTCTTTGCGAGTGCGAACAACCATGTGAGCGAGTGCACAAGCGAGCATGTGAGCCACTTGGTGGTACCGGGTGCCATCGGTGGAGCCGTTGGAACCCGTGGAGTCGAGACGGCGGGGACGTGGGGGACCCACGGGGCCGGGGAAGCGCTCCCCACCACTGCTCGTACTACCGCCCCCCAGCCGATCCTGCAGCGACGTCTCTTTGTTGATGTTCAGCTCCGAGTAGGGACAGCCAAAAGCGCTGCAAGCACGGGACGTGAAGCACGGTGCAGGCAAAGCCCAGTGCGACGCAGATAAAACAACGGCACTGGGAAGAACCTCAATCACGTCTTCAAACAACAGTACTGAAAAGGATTCTGAATCGATCTGGGCGGTGCTTGGGCACAATGAAGGCCACTGACAATTTCCGACAGTGGTACTCATTTTATCAATACTGGAGCGGTAAAGGGCCGAGTCAAACTCCAGCCAGGATTTGAACTTAACTTTGAAATTGTCATTGACTGTAACCATAGAGATAACTGGGTGCCTATGGATGCAGGTGAAACACAACAAACGTGTGTTCTGAATTAAAATACGTAGCCTTGGATGAGATGAAACAGTCAGACTAAAAGTCCGAGTATTTAATACAGATGAAAAAAATCAATGAGTGAAGTTCACAGTAAAAGTAGCCAAGGTAGTAGCAGTAAAAGAGCAATAAGGAGGTGACTGACTGCCGGCGAACGAGCGACGTGCGGCATTTGGCTTGAGAAGCGAGCCCACCTGTGGTGCCTCGTGTACTTCGCTCCCTTAATGTGACCAATGCCTTTGCAGCCCGGCGTGGGGCAACCTCCAGGGCCTGGGCTCGACACGAGCTCCACGGAACCTAGGAGGGGCAAGGTACGGCAGCCGTGGGAAGGTGGAATTTGGAGAGCGTGGAAGGGGGAGATGTGTACAATCCTTTGTCATCCATATTTTACAGTAGAGCAGCAAGGAAAATACTTGTCTCCTCTCCTCCCTGTCCCAGCCAGAAAGGCCGCCTGTGGACATACGAGATCAACTCTGCGAATGGGAGGTGGCTCCTTCTCATCTGCTGCCCCTACGCTATGGAACTCCCTACCGCTATCTAATTTCTCGGCCTATAACTGCCTCGCTTGATTCAATATCTCCTCTGCCAACCTGATTGTGGCCTCTCTTCACCTCTCTGCTCTCCCTCCCAGTCACATTTCCCCATCACTTGTTCCCCATACTTCTGTTTATCACCTTGAGATGTTGCATTTTGATATGCAATATATTTAAATTGTATTGTAATACTCTGAATATGACATAATTACAAGTAAATTTTGACTTAAAACTTTCGTGACTGCAGGAATTCATATTCTATGGTTCTGTCGGTAAAGCCACGTAGATAGAAAAAAGAAATAGCTACACCCCCCCCTCTCTCTCCTCCTATCTCTACCCCCCTTCTTTCCCCCCAATCTCTACCCCCCTCTCTCTCCCCTATCTCTACCCCCCCCCCTCTCTCCCCTACCTCTGCCCCTTCTCTCTCCCTTCTCTCTCCCCCTTTGTCTTCTCCTACATTAACATTTGCTGCCCCGCCCATGCTGCTGGCACACTTGGACTACGCCAAACGAGCACGGCACCACGACTCTTGTGCCCCGCCCACTCACAACTTTAGCTCGTCCATTCATGCTGCTCCACTGCTCTTGCGCCCATTTTAGACCTTTATAAGCAGTTTCAGTTAGAGGCTTGCCCCCCTTTTTTCTCTCCGCCTGATGACGACCTATTGTGTTGCGATCGAAACGTCATGAGTTTTTATATATTTGTTGCATATTTTATTTTTATTATTTTATTTTCTATCCACGTGACTTTACCGAAAGAACCATAGAATATGAATATAATTACAAATGTCAATGCATAATCAAGGGTCAAGCTTACAACATTTGTTTAACACGTAGGCTTACAACATTTATCAAGTTCCTGAATGAGTAATTTATGACGTTGGATAAAAATGAGAGTTCCTGGAGAAAACCACACAAATTACGCAACGGCACTCAGAAATCTGCACAGACAATGTCAGCAACATAGTCGCTGTGCTCAGTCTTGCAGGGCATCTCTCACTCAAGATGGGATGATGAGAACAGAACCACCAACCTTGCCCATCTAACTCCGAGTTGCCGGACCACAAAACGGTTCACTATGGCCAGCACGACACACAAGCCGGCACGTGCGCAGACAAAAGAGAGCGGGGGATACTCACTGACGGGCAGCTGCAGGGGGTGTCCCGTCTTCTCGCACCAGCCCACAGGGTGGATGTCAGGGCAGTCTGCGTCCAGCCAGTAGTTGTATTCGGGGCTCCAGCCGTCAAAGTGAACCTAGTTATTGTGACAACAGCACACGTTGCTGTTCGGAGCCTTTTATTCGAGCACAGCACCAACAATAGGCCCGGGCTTCGTTCTTGATGCTTGAAACTCGTCCCCTCCCCTTGTACTCTCCGCTCTTATACCCCTCGATCCCCCTTTCTGGAAGCTTCGCTCACCCCACTTCTATAATCCAATCCTCATCCTCCTCCTCTTAATGGTTGTCAACCGTCGCCCCTACCGTCCACCCTCGCTTCCTGCCTTTTACATTCAAAATCTCTCCTTCAATCCTTTTGAACCTTGCCTCCCGACCAATCACTCTGGAAGCCTCTCTGCACCAATCGAGGACTTGGTTGACTTCCTGACTGTCTGTTTGCACGTACGCTTGTTTTAGATAAGTGGTCTGTTGCCTCGGTCATTACACATGTATGGCCCTCGGTCAATCCACTGCTGGATGAGGGCCTGAACCTGCCATCGCCGTTTGTAGTGGTCTTTCGATGCCACGATCCACTGCACTCCTGCGCACAAGCTGATCTCAATGCTCCATCTCCACTCGTTATTCAACCAATGCCACTCTGCTGGTCAGTATGAGTCGGTGAATGCGGGGAGCACAGATGCAGGAGCACTGCACAACAATGGACTTTGCACCTCGTAGTGCCGCAGTCAATAAACCACTGGCTGTGCACCGTGGTTATCATCCAAGTACCACCCAGGCTAAACTCGGCTTTGATTCCAAGGGCTGACGAGATCGGGCGCATTCTGCCTGATTTGGAGAGATTTGGCCATAGGCTGCCAGCAGAACAGTGACGATATGCACAATAGGATGTGGTCATATGTCGGCAGGTAGTCACACACGAATCGCCTGTAAGGTGATTCGATTAATTGTCAGGATTTGCGGTTGTCATTTGATTTAATATAAGCGTTTTTTTTCTGAAACATTCATGGAGTTGCCCTGGTATTATGGTTCGCACACGGGACTTGCCATTTAGATTCCACCTTTCAGTGCAGCAGTTGAAACAACAGCGCCAGTTTCTTGAACACTCCCCGCCTCTCTCCATCCAGTAGCATAAATAGGTACACCACAGGCGATCAACAAGTCATGTGTGGTGGGATAAAGTTTTGGTACGCCATCTCTTACAAGTCTGGTCTGCGTGTAAGAGTAGACCAAATACCTTCTAGAGCTTCCCCTAGCAGAGGCCGTTCATCCAGCAGCAATTGCAAGGCTGCACCTTTACCTATTACACTCCAAGCACGCAAGGCAGCACACCCTGCAGGTGAGTGTCTGAAGCAAGTTCGTGGTCTTTCAACCACGCATCCGCATTGCCAGATTACACACACGGCGGCATCACGCCCACAGTTTTTAAACAAAAGCCCCAGAATGTAATGGAATTTTCTGAAAATGCAGTGAGCTTACACCCACCCAGAAACATATTTGCACTCGCAGTGGAAGGCGACTATACTGACACAAACGCCCAGCAGGGGTCTCCTGCCTCCTGCACAGAAATCCAAGCACAGCACTCAAGGAGAGAAGGAGAGGTGGTGGAAGCATGATGGTGGTGGTGGTAGTCATGGTGATGGTGGCAGTGGTAGTGAACATGGCGGTGGTGGTGACGGCCACGTTTATTCTGTAAGGACTCATGGGTTAAACTCAACTCTTATGCTCAGAATATGTGCATTCATATTCTTTGGGTCTTTCGGTAAAGATAGAAAAAATTATAAAAAAATTATAAAAATAATAACAATATCACGAATGTCGTGATATTATTATTATTATTATTTTTCTTATTTTTCTATCTGCGTGGCTTTACAGAAAGACCCAAAGAATATGAATTCCTGCAGTCACGAAAGCTTAAAGTCAAGATGTATGTGCATTCAATTTCAAGTGTAAGGATCTATAAAATTTTTAAAATGTATGCAAATAAGGTGCTGTTATATTACTGCTGATGGTAATGGCTGTGACGTAAGTGGCGGTGCTGGCAGAGACACGGTCTGCGTTGCTGATCCCACCTTAATGCGATGGTCATCGCAGTTGGCGATGGTCGCGACGCAAACCAGAGTTGGGTTCCTCCGGTCCACGGCCTCAAGACGCATCCCTGGCTGGAAGCCGTGCATGGGCCGCTAAAGAAACGTGCGCACAAACACACACCGACACGTACACACACACACCGGCACGTGCACACACACACACTGACACACACACCGACACGCACACACACACATACAGACAGACATGCACGTGCACACATATGTAAGCACAGTGCAAGCATACACGGACACACATGCAGGTTTGCATACACATTCCATTCAAAGACACGTATGCGCACATTCACATGCCCACATACGTGCATGCACTCATGCACAAGCACACAAGCATCACATCCACGCGTGCACACGCACACAGACTAAAATCGAAACACTCATGAAGCACACATGAGGAATGAGTGTTATTATCCTTTTTATTCAACTGTTATTGGCACTTCCTCAACATAGTTAAAGTGACTGACCTCTGCCATAGTAATGTAGAATTTCCAACAATGGCATAACACCGCCGGTGGTATTGAGCGTTGCCACACACGAGCTTGAGCAGACACGCTTTCACTTTGAAGACCACCACTGCGGGCTCAGTGATGCTGGCATGGGGTACCTGTGTATGGGGCCCATGGATGAAGGGGCACCTATCAGGGGCCCTCCTGCTGGGCCTGTGGTCTGCACATGGGAACTGGATGGGAGAGCGGCCAGGCGCACGCACCTGCTTGAAGGCGCGTGCAGGAGCAGCTTGCGCTCCATTCTCCTCCAGGTATTTCTCCCAGGAGAACTTTTTCCCTTCGCTGTAAGCTGCAATGGATGGAAGGAATGGTAAGAGATCATCCATCAGCCAGTGCCGTCACCGTTGTGCATGGCACAGGCGGCGTGCGTCGGAGGTTAATGTGGTTGTGTACGTTTTCAGAGGGGCGTATTATTTTATTTTGTTAGCGGTGGAAGGAAAATTGACAATGCTGCTGAATGGCACTCTATCAGGGTTTCACAGCGACAGGGCAGCACGACAACCCGCCCCGCAATCTGCTTCGCTCGTTTGTAAAATCAGACATCACCGTCGCGTGACGGCCATCGTGTCAAATCACTCTGCCGAGCAAAACGAGCGCAAAGTGGAGGATTGTGCGGAACGCCAGGCTATAACACACGCTTACATTCGAGAGACACCGACCACCCATTAACCTTGATTCATTTTGCGCTGAGGTACATTAATCACTGCTTGTTGTCAATTAAAAAAACTATAAAAAGTTGAATGGAAAACGAGTAATGAAGGTAAAGGAGTACAATTTTAGTGAGACGCACATCAATAAGTGAAGCTATAAATTACTGATGGATCGCGATGCAGCGTGCTGCACTTGGGAGCGTACGGAGCTCTGGCAGCGTACACGTGCATTGAATTTGTTGTTTCACAAACGATGCGCCATGATGCCGTGTTTCCATGACTACCAACAACCATTCTGGAGCCGTGCTGGCTCGAGGCCAAGCTGGCCTGCCCGTGTTTCCACGGCAACTTGGTCTGGCTGAATATAATCGTAATCGGTTCCAGAACCTGGCCACGATAACGTTCCTCCAAGTGCCTTACCGACTGAGAGCCAAGCTGACCCCAGAACCAGATGACATGGGGTCACCGATGAAGCCGCAGGGTGTGACGTCACTTGCAGACTGAAACAACTCAGTCGACTAAGTGTAAGTGTAACAATCTAATGTAAAAATTAATATGCATCTTTACTGAATATATATTGACTAAAATAATCCTTAAGTGATTTCCAGCTCAAATGAGCATTGAGGCAATTGCACATCTCATGCTTACAGCCTTGAGACAGTTGTGGACATTCCATAAAAAAACACTATTAACAGCCCCATGAAGTGGTACAAATTGTATCGAACCTGGAGGCACGATGAGCTGAGTCAACCCCTAATCAGGAAATTAATATGCAACCTTCTGATTGCGAGCCACCTGTCCTGCCGCTGAGCCACCTGGCCTGTGTAAAGTCCAACCCTCCACATGCCAACATTAAACTTTGTCCAGATACACTTTTATTTAACATCTGGACCATCATGCCCATGCCCAAGGACTAAGAAAACACTTTGAGATGGATTCGGAAGAGATAAGCCCTCGGAGACTAATTTGCTCATATGCAATATATTGTAGATTTATGTTGTTTATAAATGTGACCAAAAGTGACCTCACACTGTATTCACCCACTGTGTGTGGGGACAGAGGGCAGACTGGGAATCTAGCGATTCCTAGGTTGTTCCTAGGACTTTTCCTGGGCTGTTTCTGGTGGACACGCGGTGATAGTGAAGGACGCGAAGTATTGTGGTGGACATGTGGTATTGTGGTGCAGGGACTGACTCTGTGGGGGGGTGAGGGGGCGGCCATGCTCCTGACACCAGCCCACGGGGTGGATGTACGGGCTGCTAGAGTCGCACCTGCATCGCAAGAGGGGACACGGTCAGACGCGGGGACATGGCCACAAGTGGAGACAGGGAGACATGGCCACACAAAGACATAATCACATGCAGTCGACAGGAAGATATGATGGAATGCGGGGACACAGACACAATAAAAGACAGAGGCACGGTTATAAGCGGGGACACAGACACGTGGCTGTACACTCTCAAGTGGAGTGTTGTCGCTTCACGTTGTATAGGAGTGGCGTGGCACGGCACTCACCAGTAGTCGTAGGAGTCATCCCACGTGTCGAAGTGCACGAGGAAGCGGCTATCAACGACGTCGGTGATGGTGGCGACGCACACGAGCGCCGGATTCTTCTTGTCGACGGCCTCGAGCTTCATGCCCACGCGGAACCCCATCGGGGTCACGGTCTGCACCACAGGGTTCCTCCCCCACATTAAACACGGCTGAATCCCAACAGTCACACCGCAGATCGTGTAATTTATGATTGTGTACCCAGGAAAGCCTCACTGAGTCTCATGACTCTTTTTCAGGAAGGTGCTGGAAGGATTTCACACTAAGGGCGATCATTGCTACGTATAATTCCAATTAAGAAATATGCGGGTATTTTTTTTCACTTTGCTAATTTGAACGATGCCAGCGCGGGATCTTTTAACATTCACTGTGAAGCAGATGGCACTTATTTTTGCATTTAATACACCCGCAGTATAATTCAGGGTGGCCACTGGATTCGAATCGTTAACCTCTGCAACAAGTGGCTAACATGCTAACGCCAAGCCGTTTCACCTATTGCAAAAATCAACATGAATCACCCAAATGTGTCTGTGGCACACGGCGGGACACATTGTGAGCCTGAGGGTCTCTGTGCGAGTCTATACACCTGGGTGAGAGGAGCACCCACCGTGTTCTGATTCTTGAAGAGCTGCCGCGGCGCCGCCTGTGCCTTGACAGTCTTCAGGTATGCCGGCCACGCAAACTCCTCTTCCTTGTGACCTGTCGCTCACGTTGGGGGCAATGGAATCCCCCTTCAGCCACTGAGGCAAGGCTTCCTTTGTCATGCGGTAGGGAGCTGATCAGATTTGTTTAATATTTTGGATTTTAAACACAGTTGTTCATCACAGGCCCAAAGGCCCAGAAGGTCAAGCGGCCAGAAATAAACAGAACTATCACCACAAGAACATTTCCACATGTGCTTAGCACATGGGCTTCCTCTTGCCTCAGTTTACAGGAATAATTCTGTGGTGCTACATAGGACGGCTAGAGGACATCATTCTGCAGAACGAGCAGCAAGAGCAAGAAGAAGCTCGTTGAAGTAGAGGCGTAAACAAAGATCTTTCCATTGTGTTGTACTGCACGCACACACGTATGTACATACGCATGTAGACACTCCAGCATTCATACGTACAAGCACCATGACATAACTCTAAATCGCAACAGTAGTTAAAATAACGAATGCTCATATCACTGGTAGTTTAATAAAAGTGTGCAGTATGTGCCACATGCTTTATGAATAATTGCCAGCATTTTTATTTTTTCATTTTAATCAATCTTACCTATAAACAAATTTTTTTGTCTGTTGACAAAACTTGCGAAGGATTTGCCCAAGGGTCCCATAATAATGACAAGTTCACCCAGGGCATGTATGTTATTTTGCAGTTCTGTTTAGAGGATATTATTCCCCCCCCCCCCACCTTCGCTCTCCTTTCTCTCTCCTAAAAACACCACGTTCCAAATCGTTACCCCTCTTCCCTCCCCTTACCACGTGGACACCTGGCCCGGGCTTGTCGTCCGTGGAATAACTGTACCCCTTTCCTCTATCGCTCGAATTTTATAATGGGCTCTTATCAAAAAAAGAAAAAAACTACACAGGTGATCTTTGTCTTTTTTGTGCGAGCACCTTTGGGTGGCTGTAGTTTGTGGTTGGTCTTCTCGCACCAGCCCACGGGGTGGATGTCGGGCGAGTCGGCGTTCACCCAGAAGTCATAGCACTCGGAGTATCCGTCAAAGTGGAGTCTTACTCTGTAGCCACACACCTTCCACACACACACATACACGATGCCTCGGAGAGATAAATGTGCTTTGAAAATGCTTGAGGCTCTGGTTAAGATAAAGCTATGTTCTCATGTAGCTCTGCTCTCTGTCAGAGCCACTGAGGGCATTATGGAACAAGTAGGTTTGTCGCAGCCAATGCTACAATTCATAATATTGTTTTGGGTTAGACCATGTCATTATTTGACTTCCTGGATTTTATTCCAACTTCCTGGATCTTGTTCCGATGATGCTTGACACAGTTTTAAATTAAACCTCGCATATTCAATTCCTCAGTTTGGTTGTGAAAATAGTTCTTCAACTTACCGGCGAGCTAAAACAGCGATAATTAATTGGCATGATGAACGTGCACACACGTAAGCACACGTAACAACGCAAGTTGCTTAGCTATGTCAGGTGGTGGAGGGTCTTATGACACATATGGCCACATTATGACGTAGATTAAACCAAAAATCAATTAACGCGATAAACCAATGATGCACGTACCAATGAACGATCGCATGCGCATACACAGCAACGCACCTCGGCCACGGAGAGCACGCACACCAGGGACGGATGCTTCGGGTCGATGCCTTCGAGCCGCATCCCCACCTTGAACCCGTTCCGGCTCTGGGGGAACGACTGAGACTGGAGCGGGACAAACACACACAGATGCACACGGACGCACGCAGTCGCATACATAGACACACGCACACACAGACAGGTTATAACACTGCGCCGGAGTTGAGTGAAAAGCCCTCTTTTGCTCAAACCAGCCATGGGGGGAAGTGCTTTACTTTTGTTGAGAGCCCAAAGCCAGCGGTGGAAATTCCTCATTCGTATGTCAAGGGTGAGTTTATCCACAGGACAACCACTGTTGACTTCCCAACAAGTGGTACAAACTGTATCGACTAACGAGAAACAAGGGGCCATAACTAAAAAGCAGAACTAATTAGAAGTTTTATTATCGACACACATTTAGGCCGTGTGCTATTGTATGTCGCGTAATCTCACTGTGCGGCTTGGAATGTTATCATCGCTCATTGAATAGTTCCGACAACAAGTGCGTGTTGCAAAGCGTTACAGAATCCACACGCGCCAGTGATTAACTTTCCTTGTTTTCAGCTGGTGTGCATACGAATGTATGTTGAACCTCTTTCGCCCCGTGCGTAACCAACCATCATCAGAGGTGAGGGGAAGGACAACAAACTAAATACAAAAAGCACTACGTGTTGCTTTGTACAACTGACCAGGGCAACAATGACACCCCCCTCCATCGGTGGCCGGAACGCACCTCTCTGAAAAGACGCACGGGAGCTGCGACGCCCTTGTCCTCCTCCAGGTACAGCATCCACGTCCACGCACGCTTCTTGGTGGTCGATGCCGCTGCAACAGGGACACGCAAACGCCGTCGCTCGCCCACATGACCGTAGGCCACCCGCGCAGCAGAGACGTGGATGTTGCCTTACACGTCCACTGCTGGGTGAAGGCTGTATTGAATGTTGTACAATAGCGTTATGCATAACATTGCGAAAAGAACAAGCGCAAGTCGTTGACATCCGATTGAGTGTTAAGAACACCAAGCGGACTTGGACAGGATAAGTGGCTAAAAGGAAAGTGGCTGCAACAGAGACGTCCCAATGTTGTAGACACAACGTATTGGTCATGGGGGTATCTGACCATACTTCGCCATGCGGGTCCAAGATCAATACAGATATAAATTGTCAGTGGTGTTAGCTATAGCCAGGAATCAAACTGATGTCACGGAGTTTGTAGGAAAGTGTGTGAACCACTGTGCCACCACTTCATCCCATGTTACTATACTTTCCCTAAAAGTAATAGCTCCTATTTTGTATCACTTCCGTGTAAAATGTAACGTTACATAAATCATGTGATGGCAGAAAAATGTAAAATGCATGGTCAGTGAATTCGTCCAGAACTTCAAGTACCCAAAATCCACCTGTCAAACCTCACAACAGCCAGACCACAAATGGGCCTAAGAAGATTATAGGGGTAATCTGCTGCCCTGTCCACCATAAGGCCCAGTTCTGGCACAAGTATTTTTTATATGGTGGCCTATTTAATATTCATGTTTAATTTTAAAACTCTGTCATCCATACAAGTTACATCTCTAAACAATGCAAGGGCATTTGTAGGAGCACACAACTGTACCACAAATAAATCTGTATGGTGGGGGGGAGGGGCAGGGTTTGGAGGGAGGCACGGGATTTAGGTCGTTACCCTCAGAGTGACGGCGCAGTTTGATTGGTGCCTCCACAGGGCTGGGGACTTTGATCTTCATCTTGAGGTCTCCCCGCTTCTCCTGCAGCAAACACAACCAAGCTGAGAGATGTTGTCTACCCAGAGCTTTCTGCTTTTAAATAGAAGATTGTGCTTACATTTGTGTGTTCCTATGTACAGTATATATATTGCACTGTACGTAGCCAACAGTGTTAATCGGAGGTGTGGGAAAGTCCTATATATATATGTCGTGACACATATATGTTTTCAGTACGTCACTACAGATTGCTAGTGAGAGCTGTCTAAAGACACAAACATACTGAAAAGGCACAGAATGAGCCAACCATGAAGAGACAGAGAAACAAAAAAATATACACATGGCAAGAGGCCTTGACAGAAACAGACACAAAGACCACCCTGTGGGCCCACCATCCACAGGATGAAGAGGGAGGGGTGGGGGTGCGATGCCAGTATGGCAGGGAGAGGGATAGCCTCAGACGGATTAGACCTTGGCGATGGACACTCGCTAGTGGGATGTGGAATGCCATGTCACTGGGGGGGGGGGGAGCAGCCAGAGCTGGTGGAGGAGGTGAAAAGGTACAGACTAGATATAGATGGTCTCACCTCCACGCACAGCATTGTCACTGGAATAAAACTTCTCGATCGCGGGTGGTCTCTCTCCTATTGCGGAGTAACCACTGGTAAGAGGCCCCAGGCGGGTGTGGGGATACTCACAAGCCCCCGACTGAGTGCTGTTCAGCTGGAGATTGTCCCAGTGGATGAGAGGGTCGCCTCAATGAGACTTCGCGTCTCAGGAGGGGAAGCTCTGACTGTTGTCTGTGCTTATGCACCAAACAGCAGTTTAGAGTATTCGGCCTTCTTGGAGACAGTGGGCGCAGTGCTTGACAGAGTTCCGCCTCCGTAGTCTGACTGGGCGACTTCAATGCTCACGTGGGAAACGATGGAGATACCTGGAGAGGCATGATTGGGAGGAATGCCCCCCCCCCCGATCTGATCCCAAATCGTGAGATGTTATTGGAATTCTGTGCAAGTTAATAACAAACACCATGTTCAAACACAAGGATGCTTTATAAGTGTACTTGGTGCCAGAGCACCTTGGGCCGAAGGTCAATGATTGACTTCATAGTTGTGTAATGTGAGGATATATCCGGGTGGTTGATGGATCACACCTCGTTACGATGATTGGCTCTACCGGTCCTGGCCCATAGCCAATGGGGGGAAGTCTAGGGGCGTGGCCCTGACGTAACGGGAAGGTGACATTTGTAAGTAGAGGATTGGTTCTGCTGGCTTTAGCCACAGCTAATGGGGGGACGAGTCAGGGGCGCGGTCCTGGGATCGTACGATGGAGTCTAGAAGATTCCATGGAGGTTAACCAGGATAGGTGGAAAGGTACCACGTGACCCGGGTATTAAAAGGGGTGGAGACGGACAACACGTGGTCAGATCTGGAACGAACGGAAGGTGAGGCCACGCTGGAGCGGGGTCCAGGCTGCCACGTGGCCGCGCGTGTCTCTCTCTCTCCCTCTCACGCTGTCTGCTAGCAGCGTGAAGGGGTAAGACAGAAGTGTTGTGAACGAAAGACAAATAAAGACCGGATTCCAGAAGTCGCTTCCACGACCATTATTACAGTTGTATCATCGGACCTAAGGCCGTATGTTCTCGACACTCGGGTGAAGAGAGAGGCAGAGCTGTCAACTGATCACCACCTGGTGGTAAGTTGGATGCGATGCATGGGGCACCGACCAGATGACGTGGAAGGCCCCAACGAATAGTGCGGGTTTTCTGTGAACGTCTGGCGGAAGACCCAGTGCATAAAAGATTTCAACTTCCACCTCTGGAAAAACTTATCCTGCACTTCAGGGGTGGTCGTGGACATTGAATCCAAGTGGATGATGTTCACGATCACGATTGTGGATGCAGCTGTGAAAAGCCATGGCCTGAAGGCAGTCAGTGTCTGTCATGGTGGCAAACCGAGGACCCGCTGGTGGACACCAGCGGTGAGGGAAGCTGTCAAGTTGAAGAAGGAGGCTTTCCGAGCTCTACTCGGAAAAACGTCTCCCGACTCGATTGAGAGGTACCGGTTTGCCAAGAGGGCGGCAGCTGCAGCAGTCGCTGAAGCGAAAGCCCCGGGGGCGTGAGAGGCGTTTGGAGAGGCCATGGAGAGGAACTACCGAGCAGCCTCAAAGATGTTCCAGCAAACCATACAATGCCTTAGGAGGGGTTGACGGAACGTGGCTCAGGCTGTTTTCAGTAAGGGTGGCGAAACATTGACCTCAACTAGGGAGATAGTCGAGAGGTGGAAGGGACACTTTGAGGAGCTCCTCAACCCTGTGGACATGCCCTTCTTTCAGGAGGCAGCCCTGGAAACAGTTGGGGAGGTCAGATCCATCACGATTGCTGAAGTTACTGTGGTGGTCAAGGGAACTTCATAGCGGCAAAGTTGCTGGGGTGGACGAGATTTGCCCAGAGTTGTTGAAAGCGCAGGACAGTATAGGAGTGTCGTGGTTAATAAGCCTCTTCAATTTTGCATGGAAGGTGGGTACAGTACCTCTGGACTGGCAAACCGGGGTCGTGGTTCCCATTATTAAAAAAGAGGACCAGAGGGTGTGCTCCAACTACAGAGGGATCGCACTCCTCAGCGTCCCAGGTAAAGCCTATGTCGGAGTGCTCGAGAGGAGGCTCCGCCCCGTAGTCGAGCCTCAGATTCAGGAGGAATATTGCGGATTTCATCATGATGTTAGAACAATGGACCAGCTCTTTTCCCTCTCACAGATATATGAGGGGTCATGAAAGTATGCATCTCCAGTCTACCTCTGCTTTGTAGACTTGAAGAAGGCATATAACCGTGTTCCCCGCAATGTCTTGTGGGAGGTGCTGTGGGAGTATGCTGTACCGGTGCCGCTTTTGTGCGATATCCAGTTCCTCTATTCGCAGAGTGAGAGCTGTGTCCATATTCTTGGTGTTAAATCAAAGTCGTTCACTGTGGGTGTTGGACTCCGCTAAGGGCGAGTCTTGTCTCTAATCCTGTTTGTGATTTTCATGGACAGGCTATCAAGGCGCAGCCCCAGGTATGGAGAGCATGGAGGTGGCGTCGCTGCTTTTGCAGATGACGTTGTCCTCTTTGCCTCGTCAGTCAGTGATCTCCAGCGTGTACTTGAACCTTCTGATGCCGAGTGTGAAGCAGCTGGGATGAGGATCAGCACCTCCAAATCTTGAGGTCATGTTTTCTCCAGGTGAGGGGGGAACAGCTGCCCTTAGTGGAGAAGTTTAAATACCTCAGAGTCTCTTTCGCGAGCGATGGTAAGTGGGAGCGGGAGATCAGCCGGCGGATCGATGTGGCATCTGCAGTGTTGCGGGCACTGTACCGTTCCTTGGTCGTGAAGCGGGAGCTGAGCTCTCGACCAAAGCTCTCGGTTTACAGGTCGATCTACATTCCCACCCTATCCTATGGTCATGAGCTTTTGGTAATGACTGAAAGGATGAGATCGCGGATACAAGGGGCCGAAATGAGGTTTCTCCGCAGGGTTTCTGGGCTCACTTTCCGTGATCGGGTGAGGCGCTTGGTAATCCAGGAGAGGCTCAGAGTCGAGCCGCTGCTCCTTTGGATCAAGAGGAGCAAGTTGAGGGTTGTTCGGGCACCTTGTAAGGATGCCCCCCCTGGAACTCTACCGGGCACGTCCCACTGGACGAAGACCCCGGGGCCGGCCCAGGACACGCTGGCGAGACTATGTCTCTCAGCTGGCCTGGGAACTCACCAGGAAGAGCTAGTCTACTAACATGCTGCCGCCGCAACCCTAACAAGGACAAGCGGATTGAGAAACGAACGAACAATGACACAAAGACATGGAGAGACAGACACTGAGACAAACAGACATACAGGAAGCAGCAAACATTGACAGATGCAGATAACTGTGGGAGCTATAGAAATAGGGTCCTGTACAAGTGTTGCCCGGCATGGAGACGGGTGTGATTTTTACCAGGCGATCGTCGCCATTTGACATCTGCTCGGGGTCGGCTCGCGTGTTCAGGCTCAGCTTCCGCCCGCGTTTCTTGGCGTCCGAGGCTCTGGTGTCGACGCTGCTTACCTGCCCTGGCCTACACATGTTAAATAAGGCACATAACACCCTGCTCTCAAGACCAAAATACACCCAGAAATATTATCACATTCCCTCTCTCACGTGCGACGTTAAAGACGCAATGCAAACACTCAACGAGCTCTTATATTCTAGACCAGGGGTGGGAAACCTACGGCCCCGCATAAGGTCACACGAGGACCACCACTGGCAAACGGTCCGAAAACGATATTTATCTATTACTGCAAGCATCCTTGCCACACTAATCGGTACTAGAGGGGAATATTTTGACTTAGCAACAATGTTTAAAATGTTAGCGCTGCACGTACTCACTTCTGTAAACTGCAACGGCCTCTTTATATTAGGTCAACATGTACTTTTTGCATTAGAATTGGATAATGCAAAGGTTATCATGTTAATTTGTAGACCAAGGTATTTGAAATATTCAGCCCTCGGTCAGGAAATGATTTCCCATCGCTGTTGTAGACAGACAAATCTATGCTGCCTTAGGCAATCTGACACAACTCTAAAGCATGAGTGAGCCATCGCCCGTTGGCACCATACCACAAACATCACCACCGCGCAAGACGTGGGGTTTCCCTTGTTCGCGGTTGGCATTCCTCGTGGGTTTGAGCAACAGGGCCGCTCTGAGAGCCACTCCATGTGCCAGTTAAGAGGATTAGGGGCACAGGAAGATTAAAAGGGGAGGTGCGCGAGGGCACCGCACATCGGCACAGCTCCATCACCGCACCTGACGCCCTCACGTGTAAATCAGACTACTCACTGTGGCCAAATCGCACATACTGCAAATACAATACCTATCTAAATAATCAAATGAAATACTATCGTGCTATGAAGAAGGCTCAATGGCAAAAACTTTGCATATTAACATATGTTTTTTACACCACAGACTTATTGACGAACGTGTTGAGATTTGTGTTATTTGTCCTCGAGCACCAGTGTCAAATTGCTGACGCGCCTCTACTGGACATCGGTGAAAAAGAGCTTCATAAGCTCATTAGATTCCTCCCATCTAAATAAAGATTTTGAGATTTTGATTTGAAGCATCACTAACATAATTTGTTTACTACAGCGATGACAAACATATAGATGGATAGTAGTTATTGATTTATGATATTAATTGTCGCAAAATATAATACATACTGTCATAAATTTTTAAATATTAAAAAATATAACATTAGCAAATATAATCACAACAAATCATAACAATATTTTGTAAAGTGGACGATCATGGATCGAATATTAGATCATAGGGTCGGCCCACTACAACCTAGCCAGTCATCCCGACTCCCTGTACGAAGATGCAACAGGGAAAGGGTGTAATGTAGTGTCTGTGACACCCTCAGCGAGAAGATGGTTATCTGCCCAAGTATCAATTGCTTTTGTGTTCATAGATTGATGTTTATATTAAAAAAAAAAAAAATCAGCATGTCATCGTGTCCAAAGTTACATGCTTGTGGATAAATTATAAGGATTTAATAATTGATTAAAATTGATTCTTATGCTCATAAAACATGCAACAAATTGCGCATAACATCGATTATTTTTAATTTATTTATGTTTATACAATTATAGATTCTATAGATTGATAACACCATAGATTCCACATGCACCAAAACATTCAATAATTCATGAATTGTAACCCCCAGTGGTGAAAATGTATCGGATTGTGGAGTGACAGCAGCAACCAAAACTTGCAGAATTAAGTCAGAGCATGAATTCTTAGAGCTGCCAAACGAACAAAGATCCACTACTGGTGAACGACAGCAACCACACTCATCCAAACTTCAAATCAGCTTCAAGTCAATTCAACTCATCATCGGCCCTAATCAATCCACTACTGGATGAAATACCTTCTTAAGCCTCTAGCAGGGATGACCCATGGAAACAAATAAGGACGCGGTGGCAGCTAAGACGTGGAATGCGTGCGGGAGGATGTCCGTCGATGGAGCAATGAACTTGTAGGTAGGTGCAAGATGCATTACCAAGTCCCAACACAGCGAGAGATAGCGATGGAAAGGCAAGGCCTTCATTCAGCACAAGATCATGTTTGATGATGCTGAGGAATCGTTACACCTGTCGCGAATAATTGTTTTTGTTCAGTGTGGTCTCTATTTCCACGGGTGCATACTTTTTGTTGTTTAAAACTTAATTTTACTTGCTATAATACTGTGAAGCTCAAATTAAACTGACGAATTTTGGTTTGAAAGTCCAGTGTGCTAACTATTACACCGAAGAGGCGGGTGACGGGGTTAGGTAGAAGGGCGGGGGGTCCGAGGGCGCGTACTTCTCTGTAGTGAAGATGCGTGCGCACTTGTCGCTACAGAAGCGTCCTTCCTGGAAGAACTCTTCAGCAGTACCGTAGTGCCCACACTGCTCGCAGCAGCAGATACCCTCCATACTTGGCAGCTCGTCCGCGCCGCCCGGCGGCTCCTCCTTCGGTCGACCGACGCCCTCGCCTGGAGGACCTGGCACCGGCACAGGGAGCCACGGTAAAACCCAGTGAGACACGAAAGTGAAAGTGACTTCCTGGTCAAACGAACACAACTGCACTGCTAATCTCCCACTCACAGCCCTCAGATAGTGGTGGAACTTCCACATTCCTATAGCAAGGCGAGTGAATCCATAGAGCAACCACCGGTAACTTCTCGCAAAGTGGTCCTCATTTTATTGACCGTAAATAAATCATACTGTTGACCCTCAGTTGGGAGACGAGTATTCTAACTCCTGCGCCACCTGGCTCAATTTAACGTCAATAAACCCAGAAATTTATACCTAGTAGAAAAATTATCCTCCCACAACGACGCACCCACGCACGTAACTACGTGTGGAAATCGGGCGACAATGAGACCCCGGTAACAGATGAGTGCTTGCAGTGCTCACCGCCTTGGCCTGCGTTCCACGAGCCCTCCATGGCCGCAGACTCCTCGGGAGAGACGATCTCCAGCGTGCCAAACTCGTTAATACGGAACTGAATCACATGACGACACGAGCACATGCGCGAGCACACAATTGAAGAATAATAACACAGAATGATAATTTAAACTTTCAAATTATGCATTTTTCAACACAATCGCAAGGGCAACGCAAAGTGCCTGCTGTGCATCAACTGGAAATAATCTCCCATTGTCATTACCGTTCACAAATGCTGCCTGATATTTGAATACAGAATAATACCAGGTGAGGTTTGGCCAGTGGCGCTTATTTAAAACAGATAGCATTGGAACAAAACAGGATTGTAACTTATTTTAAGACTGCATTGAAAAATGTGGCTCAAATTTTACATTTGGAAATAATAGGAATATGAAATCTTGCAAGAGTGAAAAAGTGTCCCTTATACAGTGACTCTTCGCTTATAACGTCGGCCGGTTTAACATTATTTAGCTACAAAGTCGCGGATGAATCACTACCCACATATGCATCTAACGTCGTGTGGTGTCGCTACAACGTCGCTGCCGTGGGTAACTACTTTCCACGGCGGAGAGCGAGGCGGCTGCGCAGCACGTACGTTGCTAGGCAATGCCCCCTACCGGCCCGGTGTATCTCTAAGCAGCCAGAACGTAGTGCGAGAGTTCTCACGCTTTCTTGGGCTGCACAGGTGAGCGGAATGATAGAGTGAGCGGCGGAGCACCCTCACCTCAGTTTGTGGACTGTTTTTGTTTTCATATGGAGAGGTAATTTATCACTGATCCTACTGTTTCAAGTGCCGTGATGTGAAGGAAGGTGATCACTTTGTAAACCAAATTAGAATCTTGACTAAGCTTTCGTGACTGCAGGAATTCATATTCTTTGGGTCTTTCGGTAAAGCCACTTAGATAGAAAAATTAAAAAATATCACGACGTTTCAACACAAGCAATCGCCATCAGGTGAAAAAATATAGCGGGAGAGCTGCTGAGGCAGGGAAAAATATTTTATATTCTTTTATTATTATATTTCTATCTACGTGGTTTTACCGAAAGACCCAAAGAATACAAATTAGAATCGTTATGCTGCTTTGCAGCAGGATATATGGAGCGCATGTTATCAGTGTGGATTGATCAACATCAGCCCCATATTCCTCTCAGTTTACTGGTGATCCAGGCAAAGGCACCAGGTTTGTTTGAGGACTTAAAGGCCAAGGATGGTGAATCAGGGTGTTCTTGCAGCATCAATATTGTAAGTGAGGATTATGCAAGCAGGGAGCGCAGTGCTCAAGTGTCAGAAAAACAAATGATACTTTGCAATGCTAAAAGAAACTCTACTTAGAAAAAAAACTCATAACTTATCAACAGACCGGCCGCCTTTGTCTCCCCAGTGGCAATGTTTAAACAACACACCAGGTACCTAGGGCATGACCCAGGACCGATTTAGATAATGGTCATTGTTGTTGGGCATGAGTGGGAATCGAACTCGGGTCGCTGGGTTCGTAGTGCAGCACACTAACCGAAGCAATACCGCTCCTCCACTCGCGGAAAACCACACAACACATCCGCTTTGGATCATCATCATCACCGGGAAGAACAGTACTTAGAATACTATTTATTGTCTAGGAATGTTTTTTGTATTAGGTTTTTACATTTTTATTTAAAATATTCAGTTTTTTTGGCATACAGTATAGTAGTTATTTCAATGTATAATGTGTCTTACTTATGTAAGGCTAAGTATTGAATATTTGCGGTTTTGACTTTCGCGGAACTTTCCAAGAACGTAACCCCCATGATATTCAACGGTCTCCTGTATTTTGATTTAAAGCTTTCGTGACTGCAGGGATTCATATTCTTGGTTCTTTCGGTAAAGTTACATAGAAGGGAAGTAATAAAATAATAAAAATAGAAAACAACAAAAAAATATATATTTGTATTATTTTATTATTTCCCTTCTACGTGACTTTACCGAAAGAACCAAGAATATAGGTCTCCTGTATATAATAAAATACCACCTTAATTCTGCAATGTACCAATATTGCACACAACTCGACTTTGTGTTGCACTGACATTTTTGTAGACCAATAACATAACTGACACGCACAAGACAGTGAAAAACATCAATAAATAAATCCGGCAGCCTGTTTTGTCCCTTCAGCAATGCAAGGTGTTTCCAAGTTGTACAAAGGGATGACCAAAATACGCTGCCATTTATTTTAGCACAGCTATGGACATGTCAGCCAGCTTGAACGCCACATTTAGGGCAAAGGGTGACAGCGTCGAGTTGGGACAACCGGCTGGCGCAAGTGGTGGCTACAAACTGTCAATTTCACAAAAATGCTGGGCAATGGGAGATAAATGGCACGTGGGTCGCGACAACCGCCGGGCACACATCAGGCACAATGGGTCACGTGTCATTTACTCGGCAAGCGGAGCGCGGTGCCCCAGCATGTCTGGCGAGTACAAAGGCACGCGCGCGCAATTGCACGCGGTTCTGGGACTACGTTGGCAGAGCCGTGTCGCACCAGGGAACGCTGCTACGTTCACAGCGATGCAGGCGCAGAACGCTTGATAGAGAAACAGACTCTCTGAACCAGCACGATTACTGTGCATACATCCTCCAGTTATAGAGGGTAGACGATGGACACAAGGTGAAGGCCACCACACTAAGGAACATTAGAAGAGCACTGTAATTACAGAAAGAGGTGAAAATCTGAACAAATGCTGCATATAAATTGAGGACTCGATCTACCAGACTGCTTTACAATTTGAAAATAAGTACAAACACTTTAAAACTACATTAATGAAATTAAAGATAAACAATGAGGGAAACAATGTTATGTCCTTGAGACTCCAAATGTTTAAAACTATGACTATACAACTTATTAAATGTGAGATAAAAAAATAAAGTCTTCAGATTAAATTAAAAAAATCACTCCCAACTTTTTACCTGTGGCCCACCATGGGAAGGGGTGTATAGCCTTTGAATGCAAAAATTAAAATGAACAGAAAAAGGGAGGAAAGAAAGCATGAGAAATAAGAGGAAAAGGATTAAAAAGGAATTGAAAATCAAGAGCCAAGCATCAGGAAATAAGATAGGAAGAGGCGACATAGGGCGTCTACGCTGCTGCATGGAGCGGTGTCTGTTTTTAAAGGGGGCGGCAGGGAGGGATTCAGGCGAGGGGTGGCCACACAGAAGTCACGTGGTTTATCAGAGGCTTGAGCTAATTTACACACACAGACGTGGCAAGAAGAGTTGCTGAAAGGCATGAAGTGGAGAGTGCTTTCCATTGTTTAGATTGATAAACCAAAAATCTATTTTTTTCGAAATTTTAAGTAATTAGGTCAATGTCCGAGGAACAAATATTACAGAAAGGGGACACAGAGAACATCCTTTTATAACCAACGAGACCACATTACTCCAATGCCTCCACCAGCTGAGTCCAATCCTGGATCAACTTCAAGATCACACTCAGCATATTCAAGATCCTCCTTGGACTCACCTCTGCCCAACTCTACCATCATCTCACTCTTCCCGTCTACACACACTCAGCTTCAGCAGCCAAGGCTTTCCATCCAAGACTCCATAAAACCTTTGCTCAGTGACAGGTTGCTCATTCTGCCTTGTTTCTTTATGTATGTATATATGTTGAACATCTTTCGCATCGTACGTAGGCAAACATGCTAATTGGAGGTGCTCTCTTCCCTCAGAACACCGTGATCAACTCTCTGCTGCCATTTAACTCGATTGTAAGACCTTTCTCTTTCATCTGCCTATAACGCTCTTTCTATATACATGTAAAACATGTGTCCACTTTTTCTGCTCAGTGTCTTGATATGAGTGTGTATTTGGAAGCTATATCAATATCAATTATACGTATTATACTTTTTGCCTTCAATGGTGGTGCGTGTGAATTCACAAATGCAAGAACAAACAACACAATGCTCATATGTCAACGTCCATCGTTGCCTCTGAAAGAGTGCATACAAATTATGACAAGAATCATACATTAATTCTAACAAATCTACAAATTTCTAATGCCTCCAATTTGCAGCTTTTTTCAATTAGTGTGCGTGATTGACCGGCCAACCCAAACTCCGTCGGCGGTCGTGCTTGCGAGTGGGTTGCCGGTGACTCACGCGGAGCGTGCTGCCTGGCAACGTGCCGATACCGTCCCTCCAGTCCATGGCTCCCACCACGTCGAAGTCCGGGTGGCTTGGCACTGCCCCATCACTGCCGAGAGAACTGTCAGGCAGGGCACCTTCCTCTGCCTCCAGCTTCACCTGCACCTCCTTGGACGAGGCTGCATCTGCGGCATGAAACCAGCACATGTGACCACCACACAGCGCTGTTGCTACTGGGCATGTAATGATGCGTCGGTTAACAGATATGCATCACATCATGGGTGTGTCAGAATGGAGTAATGTACTTAAAATTAATAAAAGTTGTATGCAAATTATTCTACAATGTTACATTTAGGCTAATAGAGTGAACAAAACGGTAAAAACAAAAGAGATAAGGCTGTCTCCTTCAAATATCTCTCTCCACATAAAAAAAAAAACATTATTCTTTACACAACCCATTGGCCCCATGTCCTTCTGGGAGTGTATAATTTCAGTAGCATTGATTTAGTACAAGCAAATTCTAGACCAATTTCAACATAATGTCTCATCAGTATTCAGGCTTGCTTGAACTTGTAAAAACAAGTTCATATTTCAAATTTGTTCCAGTATAACTGCACGTGTGACTCGTCACATGTGAATTGTAATCAAGGCTGCGGAAACTTCAATTAAAATTTTCCAAATAAGTTATCAATTCTTGTGCACAGAGCTTTGTGCAAGTATCGTGAGCATAAAATTGAAGTGAAATGGTATGTTTGTGCACGTAACCGAGTTACAATTTTTAAATATTGCGTAACATTTAATATGAAGCAATGGAACTAGCGTTGCTTATATTTTGCAGAACAGCTGCATATTACAGATGCATTGTAGTCCCTGATGGTACTTGCCTTTCATCATTAATAAAGCAGAGGCCTACGCCTGACCCCTGTCCTGCCCTCTTGCCTAAAAAACAAGGCATTAAGGTAAAACACAAGGAGAGCATCTAAGCTAAGAGAGGTGCAGTTTGGCCAAAGTCTAAAGTAAAAACTGCCATTGTAAAGAATATGAAACAAAGAAAACAATAAATGTGTCAATGATCTTTAAAAATACAATGCTTTACCTTGTCCAGCCAAACATTTCGCTTGTGCCTCAAAATTAACTTAAAAGGTGGTGTGAACAGTTTTGCATAACTTAATTGACTCAGTGTCCTGTCCATGCTAAATAGGTCAACACAAACAACAACATTGTGTTACACTACGTGTCAACATAAGCGTAACACTTTTATTTTAATTGATAAATCGATATATTGTAGCATGCCACTCACAGGATACAATAAAGTTGCATCTCCATTATCTGTGGAAAAATGTTATCCAGCTGGCAGATTAACCCATATATGAGGACAAATTAAATAATATATTGTTCCACACACTGGTTAAATTCTTAGCTAGTGACTCAAGTGTCTACCTGACCACAAACAAGTAAATGTAGCTACACAAACATAAACACAAAGCATAAATGACAAAGAAAATCCCAAGGTAAAAAAAACAATGCGTAAACGTGTAAGAGCCCACATCACGACTGCTCCCTGTGGCTGTGACTGCTGATGCTGAATGTGCAAAGGACACTCCGAGCCCTCACCAGTGGGTGTAATCTCATCTGCATGTGGTTTCTCCGGGGCCGATTCCATTGTGATGTGCGAGCCGTTCTTCTGCGACGCCCTGCCAAAGAAAGGGACAATTGTTCAGCATAGCCATCAGCCATGGTCAACCCACTGCTACATGGAGGCCTCTCCAAGGTGCTGCCACCTGCTGCGATCGTACGGTGTAACAATTCACCTATCAGCCGCACACGAGGCGATTGTATTGCCTCGGTAGGTAGACACTCAAGTCACTGGTATAAAATACATTAAGCTGAGTATTGCTGTGAAAAAAAAATATTAAAGTGACAAGGAAAATCTCAACACCAAAAAACACTCTGCTTTACTCAAAATCACGGTTAAATAAGTGTTAATTTCTAAATAAGATGAATATTTTTCCATGAAAAACAAGCATTGATGCAATTTAAAAAGATGAAAGAAAAAAACATGCGACAAAAACAATGGTCAACTCATTGTAACTGGAGGTAAAACAAAAAACCAAGTGCCTCAACATTACTTTTCTAAAATATTACAATAAATATTAAAGCAGTGCACACCGGGCCAAACACATCATCAAACGCATCAGCCCTGAAGATGTAAACGGAACCCGAGGGGATTGCAAACGAGTTTTTGTTGTTCTGGTGAGACGGGGCAACGGTGTGTGAAGTTATGGAATCTGCACAAAGTTGCCCGGAGCTGCTGCAGTTGTGTATTGAATGTGGGCAGCGAGAGGCGCAGAGGAGACATCATCCGCCTGCAGAGCACAGACGACTCGCAAAGCTGCTGCTGCTGCTGCCCATGGGTCCCCCATGGTCTCCCATGGAGCTCCTCCATTCGGCAGCGGCCAGCGCTGGCGGAAGCCATTTTGGCCGTGGTATGATGATGGATCCACTTTTGCGATAGTTTTGCCAAAGAGGGGAGGACGCTGGGTCCGTGAGCGACACGCGAATTGGGTGGCAATGGGAATAAAACCCCAGCAGCGCCCATCTTAGTGGCGGCGCCCCAGCAGCAGCACCTCCAGCACAGACGCGCACGCTCCTCACCCCCCCCCCCAGCTGCCCACATGCCTCCTCGTGCCCTCGGCACGGTGCCAGGGTCTCGTGAAAAAACGTGTATTTATTATAAAATACATGTTCACACACACTAACCTGCGCTTCGTTAAAACGAGCCTACAATAGGTACAGTAATAAAATGAAATAAATTGCCGCTGCTTATTTTTTTTGTCTGACAAATTAAATTCCCACGCACTTTGTTACAGCATCAATTTGGATTAAACAAACGCGACCCCGGCGTGTTTAACCATTAACAAATACACAATGAGACATTTGCTCGCCACACGAATGACCACACACCCGCGGCTGTCGACTCGAAGCCCACGCAGAATTATAACGAAATGAAACAACTTACGACGACGACGTCCTTGTGGTAAATGCCGGCGAACAGCTCGACGACTTGACGACCGGAGGGGGGGGGGGGCATACAGCGCGCGTGTGTTTAGTGTTGCGTGTTTAAGTGTGTAAGTGTTGCGTGTTTAAGTGTACACACGTGTACGTGCCGCATGTGTTACAGCGCCTGCTTCGCTTTAAACAATGGGGGCGACAAGACGCAGGGAAAAGAGAAGTATTCGAGCCGGATATTCAGGGGCCTTTTCTCTCTGCGCCGTCACCACCACCACCAGTAACCGCGCCGAGGACTGGAGCAGCATTACAACACACACACACTCGTGCACACAGCTATATGAACACACAGACACGCAAATACAATATACACACAGGCACGCATATACTGCCACATGCAGTGATACAGTATACACACAGGCACACGTGTTATGTACTCACGTATACAGTATGCACATACGGATACTTGATAGAGTACTTACACGGTGTACAGAAACCCATAGATACACACTCTCACACTTGCTCTCAGGCACATACTGGACCGACACCCACTCATAAGACTCGCACACTCCCCAACATGATTGTACACTCCGCTACTCACATAAGCGCGCACTCATAGAGACTCAAGAGACATCGTCACCCACACAACTCAAAACCCCACGGACTCAAAGAGACTAAAGACACATCGTCACCCACACAACTCAAAACCCCACGGACTCAGAGACATCGTGACCCACACAACTCAAACCCCACGGACCCATAGAGACTCAAGACACATCGTGACCCACACAACTCAAACCCCACGCACTCACGCAATGCCGTGACGCGCCTCGCATGCAACCGCACGCGGCGGCACGTGTTCGTGTGCGCACCCAGTGTGTGTGTGTGTCACCAAGTAGTGTGTGTGTCACCAAGTAGTGTTTGTGTGTCAAGCAGTGTGTGTGTGTGTCACCAGTGTGTGTCACCAAGTAGTGTGTGTGTGTCAAGCAGTGTGTGTGTCACCAGTGTGTGTGTCAAGCAGTGTGTGTGTCATCAAGCAGTGTGTGTGTGTCACCAAGTAGTGTGTGTGTCAAGCAGTGTGTGTCACCAAGCAGTGTGTGTATGTCACCAAGCAGTGTGTGTGTGTCACCAATCAGTGTGTGTGTGTCAAGCAGTGTGTGTGTCACCAAGCAGTGTGTGTATGTCACCAAGCAGTGTGTGTGTGTCACCAAGCAGTGTGTGTGTGTGTCACCACACACACACACTGGCAATGGGACCCCCTGTGGAACACTTTTCAAGACAGTATTGTAAGAGCACCGCCGCGACTGACCACCTCGGTGCGACAAAACACAAATCAAATAGAACACAAATCAAATCAAACGCGTGCAGCCGGCTGCTGCTATTGTCTTTGTTTAACGCGTTTGGTGATTTTCCCAGCAAAGACCAATATCCCCCGTAAAGTCTAGACTTTGGGCAAGTGCTGCTAGTGAGCAATTTATTAAGGCATACTCGGCACACGAAGTGCGGGTGGCCACACCACTCCCGGTCGCCTTTGTCTCCCAAGTGGCGATGTTCACACACCGCTCCAGATCATTGTCACTAATGTTTGTGATGGCCGTGAGCGGGAATCGAACTCGGGTCGCCGGGTTCCGAACGCTGTGCGATGACAACTGCAACACGCTACCGCTCCCCACACACACTTACACAGACCCAGCGCACACACTTACACAGCGCGCACTTACACAGCACACACACACGCACTTACACACACACACTTACACAGCGCACACTTACACAGCACGCACTTACACACACACACACACTTACACAGCACACACACACACTTGCATACACTTACACAGCACACACAGCACACACACTTACACAGCACACACACTTACACAGCACGCACTTACACACACACACTTACACAGCACACACACACTTGCATACACTTACACAGCACACACAGCACACACACTTACACAGCACACATAGAACACACTTACACAGCACACGCACATTACACACACAGCACACACACTTACACAGCACACACACTTACACAGCACACACACTTACACAGCACACACACTTGCACAGCACACTTACACAGCACACACACTTACACAGCACACACACACTTACACAGCACACACACACGCACTTGCACAGCACACACACACTTACACAGCACGCACTTACACACACACAGCACACACACACGCACGTACACAGTACACACACACACTTACACAGCACACACACTTACACACAGTACACACTTACACGCACAGCACACACACTTACACAGCACACGCACAGCACACACACTTACACACACAGCACACACAGCGCACGCTGCTGGGATGGGGGCGGCACTAAGACGCGCGCCGCCAGCGGGGGGGGGGGAGTGGGGGATGGGGGGTGGGGGCCTCCAGGACAAAATGGCGGAGCTCGCCGCCGCTGCGCGAGTCGTGGAGGGATTCCTGAGCGCGTTTTGCTCTTCGCCTCCCTCAGCTCCCTCAGCTCCTCAGCTCACTCAGCTCCTCACCTCCCTCAGCTCCCTCAGCTCCCTCAGCTCTTCGCTTCCCTCAGCTCCCTCAGCTCCTCACCTCCCTCAGCTCCCTCAGCTCCTCAGCTCCCTCAGCTCCTCACCTCCCTCAGCTCCTCAGCTCCCTCAGCTCCCTCAGCTCCTCACCTCCCTCAGCTCCCTCAGCTCCTCACCTCCCTCAGCTCCCTCAGCTCCTCACCTCCCTCAGCTCCTCACCTCCCTCAGCTCCTCACCTCCCTCAGCTCCTCAGCTCCCTCAGCTCCCTCAGCTCCTCACCTCCCTCAGCTCCTCACCTCCCTCAGCTCCCTCAGCTCCTCAGCTCCTCAGCTCCTCACCTCCCTCAGCTCCTCACCTCCCTCAGCTCCTCAGCTCCCTCAGCTCCCTCAGCTCCTCACCTCCCTCAGCTCCTCACCTCCCTCAGCTCCCTCAGCTCCCTCAGCTCCTCAGCTCCCTCAGCTCCTCAGCTCCTCAGCTCCCTCAGCTCCTCACCTCCCTCAGCTCCCTCAGCTCCTCAGCTCCCTCAGCTCCTCAGCTCCCTCAGCTCCTCAGCTCCTCAGCTCCCTCAGCTCCTCACCTCCCTCAGCTCCCTCAGCTCCTCAGCTCCTCAGCTCCCTCAGCTCCTCACCTCCCTCAGCTCCCTCAGCTCCTCAGCTCCCTCAGCTCCTCACCTCCCTCAGCTCCTCAGCTCACTCAGCTCCCTCAGCTCCCTCAGCTCCTCACCTCCCTCAGCTCCCTCAGCTCCTCACCTCCCTCAGCTCCCTCAGCTCCTCAGCTCCTCAGCTCCCTCAGCTCCTCAGCTCCTCAGCTCCCTCAGCTCCTCACCTCCCTCAGCTCCCTCAGCTCCTCAGCTCCCTCAGCTCCTCACCTCCCTCAGCTCCTCAGCCCCCTCAGCTCCTCACCTCCCTCAGCTCCCTCAGCTCCCTCAGCTCCTCACCTCCCTCAGCTCCCTCAGCTCCCTCAGCTCCCTCAGCTCCCTCAGCTCCCTCAGCTCCTCAGCTCCCTCAGCTCCTCAGCTCCCTCAGCTCCTCACCTCCCTCAGCTCCCTCAGCTCCTCACCTCCCTCAGCTCCCTCAGCTCCTCACCTCCCTCAGCTCCTCACCTCCCTCAGCTCCTCAGCTCCCTCAGCTCCCTCAGCTCCTCACCTCCCTCAGCTCCCTCAGCTCCTCAGCTCCTCAGCTCCCTCAGCTCCTCAGCTCCTCAGCTCCCTCAGCTCCTCACCTCCCTCAGCTCCCTCAGCTCCTCAGCTCCCTCAGCTCCTCACCTCCCTCAGCTCCTCACCTCCCTCAGCTCCCTCAGCTCCTCACCTCCCTCAGCTCCCTCAGCTCCTCACCTCCCTCAGCTCCTCACCTCCCTCAGCTCCTCAGCTCCCTCAGCTCCTCAGCTCCTCAGCTCCCTCAGCTCCTCACCTCCCTCAGCTCCTCAGCTCCCTCAGCTCCTCACCTCCCTCAGCTCCTCAGCTCCCTCAGCTCCTCACCTCCCTCAGCTCCTCAGCTCCTCAGCTCCCTCAGCTCCTCAGCTCCTCAGCTCCTCAGCTCCCTCAGCTCCTCACCTCCCTCAGCTCCCTCAGCTCCTCAGCTCCCTCAGCTCCCTCAGCTCCTCACCTCCCTCAGCTCCTCACCTCCCTCAGCTCCTCACCTCCCTCAGCTCCTCAGCTCCTCAGCTCCTCAGCTCCTCAGCTCCTCAGCTCCCTCAGCTCCTCACCTCCCTCAGCTCCCTCAGCTCCTCAGCTCCCTCAGCTCCTCACCTCCCTCAGCTCCTCAGCTCACTCAGCTCCCTCAGCTCCTCACCTCCCTCAGCTCCCTCAGCTCTTCGCTTCCCTCAGCTCCCTCAGCTCCTCACCTCCCTCAGCTCCTCAGCTCCCTCAGCTCCCTCAGCTCCTCAGCTCCCTCAGCTCCTCACCTCCCTCAGCTCCTCACCTCCCTCAGCTCCCTCAGCTCCTCAGCTCCCTCAGCTCCCTCAGCTCCCTCAGCTCCTCACCTCCCTCAGCTCCCTCAGCTCCCTCAGCTCCCTCAGCTCCTCAGCTCCTCAGCTCCCTCACCTCCCTCAGCTCCTCACCTCCCTCAGCGCCTCTCGCGTCTCGCACCTGCCCACCATCTCCTGCTTCCCCCGTTCTCCAGCTCTCTCCGACACATTTTGTTTAGCCGGTGTGTTTGAGGGCTTTTTTTGTCTTTGCCCTTTCCCTCTGGCTTTTTATTTTAGTTTTTGTTGTTGCTACATCTGATGATGCTGATGATGAGGCTGATGCTGCTGATGATGAGGCTGATGAATGATGATGCTGATGGCTGGACGTGGACACGCAAGGCCACCAACATCATCAAAGTATTAGTAGATTTGAAGCTTTCGTGACTGCAAGGATTCATATTCTTAGGTTTTTTCGGTAAAGTCACGTAGGTAAACCATTAAAATTAAATGTTTTACCTACGTGACTTTACGGAAAAAAACCTAAGAATATGAATATCATCAAAGTAACCTGTTACTGATGCTAACCCTGCTTCTCTACGGATATATATTTATAATTGTCACTATAAATCCTCAACTCGAATCAATCGCAATCTCCATTTCACAAACTCCACCTTGGTCCAACATTAACAACACATTATTGGTTAAAATGTGGGGGGCATCCATGACTGAGGCAAAACCCGACAATGCAAAGCCAAATTCCAAAGAACACAGGATGAGGGAATTTGGCTTTGCATTGTCGGGTTTTGCCTCAAAGGAAAAACACAAAATTGGACAAAACTAAATTGTACAAAACTAAATTAGACAAAAATTAATTGGACAAAACTAAATTGTACAAACTAACTTAGACAAACATGCCAGCAGGCAACTCTAACAAGGGCACGAAGATGATGAAGACGTCCCCAGAGGGCCGCTGAGATTGGGGGGCGCGACTCCCCCCCAAGTGGCGGCGCTGCTCGCAGCGCGCCTCGACCATGTCGCTGGGAATGGTTTTTAAAATATTTCCTTAATTATTACAACCGCTAATTTTACGTCAATTGCAACAGCAATATATTGATTTTGTGTTCGTGTGTATCAAAATACACCTCCTTCTCCTCCTCCTTGAATAAAGGGAAAAACAAAAGTAAGTGCGTGTGAAATGAAGCAAACAGGGCCTGACCACCGCCTCCAACTTAGGCGACGAGAGTGCGAATAGCGGAGAGACAGAAACTAGAACAACAACACCACAAAGACAAAGATCCCCGTATAGCCCTGCAGGCTGGTGAAGGCAGGTTGTGTTAGCGAGCACCTATTAAGGCCGGCACACAAGACGCACACAGGACGCACGCACTCCGCATGCAAGCTCAGCTATTCCCTTTACTTCATTCGCTGTTAGTGCTGCTGCTGCTGTGTGAGTGAGTGTCGCCGTGGCTGCTGTCCGGGGTCATCTCGCGGGTTCACCACCGAGTGTCCACCACCAACACCTCCACCACCAACACCCCAGTGTCCACCACCTCCACCTCCTCCCTGCGCTCTGTCTCTTACCCGGTCGGGTTCCTCCTCCCGGCAGCAGCGGCATGGGCCTCGCGAGGCCTCTGCGCATGCGCGAACAGAGAACCCCCCCCGCCACTCATCCCCCACAGCCCCCCCACCTCTTCATCTCCCCCCCCCCCTTTACTTATCTCTGCCCCCCCCCGCGCCCATTGCTCCTCATCACTGAGCCCCCCCCCCTCGTTCTCCTCGTCCCCTTTCTTCGCTCCCCAGACCCCCCCCCCTCCCCGTGCTGCTCTCGTCACGTTTCTGCTGCGCTCAGGAGGTCTCCCTCCACAATGCGCGCTGCCTCCCAATCGCCTCTCACCTCTACACCGCCCCCCTATCCACCTCTACACCGCCCCCCTATCCACCTCTACACCGCCCCCCTATCCACCTCTTCACCCCTAAACTAAAACACCCCCAGCGCACCCCCTTCTCGCGAGCGTTGTTCAGTCGCCTCCTGAGAGACATCAGCAAACTCGCAACCTTCACATGCAGCGCACCAGGCACGGGTTCCCTCACGACGCGTCCCACCGCCACCACTCTCACATCGCTAATTCTCTCTCATTCACCGTCTGGAGTTGTGCAACAATTATCGCACTGCAAAGCCCGCCACGCAATTCTAACCGGTTTGCTCACAACAGTTCAATTCCTGCGACGGGCATCCGGTATTGCTGCTCACGCGACAACTGCTGCACAGATACCATCACCACCACCAGCACCACCATCATTATTATTATTGATGATGATGATGATGTGACCAGCGGCACGCCGTCATTGTCAATGTAGCACCGGAGCTTGGCGTCTGGCCGAGCTCCGGCGGGCGCGCGTCGTGGGGCGGCACAAATCGCGAAACCAGTCGGGGCAGTGAGGCGCGCGATCTCCCGGCGCGGCACGCGTTCATGCCGACACGGGAACTCACCTGCAGCTGAAGCTGTCGCTCTCCGTGCAGGATCGTGAATATTCCCTAAAGTTGTTTACAAATCTAACGCGAAACACAAACTGTATTACCCTGAAATAATTTAACAAAGTGTAGAGGATGTGACGTCACGCGTGTTATGCAACGCGCGCCGGAGCGAGCTGCCGTGCCGCGCTCGCAGTGGGCAGCGCGGTTGTACCGCACTTCTATGTACGTCTATGCTCCCGGCCTTGGCCAGAGCACGTGGCAGCCTGGGGAAGGCCCTCATCCAGCAGTGGATCGAGAGAAAAAATGTCGCTGTGCGTGCAAAAGGTGATTAGCAAATAACAATGATGTCATTGATTTGTCCCTGGAAAGACTCAGTCCCAAGACTCCTGTTCAGGAGGATTCTGCAGTCACGGTGGATAATTTGTGTGGGAGGCCGGAATAGGCAAAGAAAGCCCACCACATACGAGGGGCTAACAACAACTACGGCGGCTACACACGGCTTCACCAAATCCACTTGCTATTTTATTTTATAACCACGCAATACAAGCATATTCTTAGGTTTTTTCGGTAAAGTCACGTAAGTTACTTTACCGAAAAAAACATAAGAATATGAATCATTGCAGTCACGAAAGCTTCAAATCTAGAAGCAATACAAGCAGATTTGTGAGTTTCACGGATCTCTGTGTGGTCCACCAACCATTGTCCCTAAAGCTCAGGGCCACACGCGTACGCCACAGCGCCTGGCTCAAGAGATATAATAATGTCCTGTAAGGGCCATACTTTCTCTTTGGATATTTCGGTAAAGTCACGTAGAAACAAAATAAATTAAGTAATAGAATACGACGTTTCGATTGCAACACAAGCAACCGTCATCAGGTAGAACTAAATTTGAGAGAGACAAAACACAGACACGGAGACACAGACAGACACACAAGCAGAGAGAGACAACACAGAGACACACAGAGAGACACACAACAGAGACACAGACAGACACACAAGCAGAGACACACAGAGAGAGACACAACACAGACACACAGACAGACACACAAGCAGAGAAAGACAACACAGAGACACACAGAGAGACACAACAGAGACACACAGACAGACATACAAGCAGAGAAAGACAACTCAAACTACCTATTCCTCTCTCTCTAAAATTCACCAGGCTCGCATAGGTCCATTCGCTCTTTCTCTCCCGGTCGCTTCGGGGTGAATTTCCACGCAACTCTCTAAAATGTACCAGTCTTGTTGGGTCTTTCATTGACACGCTAATTTCTCTGCTCCAGCAGCTGCTCCAGCAGACCCACCTCTCTCTCTCTCTGCCCCCCTCTCTCTATTTAAGGCCTCAACACAGAGGCATTGGGTCTCTGTGTGTCTGTTGTGTGCCTCTCTCTCTCAAATTGTGTCTCTCTCTCAAATTTAGTTCCACCTGATGACGGTTGCTTGTGTTGCAATCTAAACGTCGTATTATATTATTACAAATTTTTTTTACGTGACTTTACCGAAAGAACCAAAGAGTAATTCCTGCAGTCACGAAAGCTTCAAATCAAGTTTGGGCCATACTTTCCTTTGAAGTGTTGACTGCCAACGCATGATCACTTCACGTTTTATATACAGTGCCACGCCGCTGGAAGGGATGATGGACGATGGTCGGAGTGGCATCCGAGGAATGGAACGCTTTCGAGAACAGGACCACCGAGGAGTTGGAGCCATGAAATCAGTTCGTGTGCAGGTGTGGAGTGTTAACTACGTCGCAGCAGCGTCTTGATGGCGCCGGCTTGGGGAGGCCTTCCATCAGATCATGACCGGTGTTGAGTTGATGTGGGTCAGCAGCCGGAACGTCTTGCTTGATGGCAACGAATTCTTTAGAATTCATTTTCTTGGTTCTTTCGGTAAAGTCACGTTACTTTCTAGATTTTAAGTTTTCGTGACTGCAAGAATCCATACTCTTTGGTTACTTTACCGAAAGAACCAATAATATGAATTCCTGCAGTCACGAACGTTTTAAGTCTTCTTTAGAATTCGCTGCGAGGACTAAATAAGCTCCGGCGCATTGAACCGAAACCCGAAGCGAAGAACCGGTTTTAACTGCTATTTTTCCAGAGCGAAAACTAAAAACTTAAATTAACCTTTTTTTCTGCTCCAGACTGCAATCCCCCTAAAAAGATGCGGTTTTAGGTTCAATGTAGAAGTATTGCACATTGGCGTTTGGATGGTAAAACGTTAAAACAAACACACAAAGATACAGGACTAGATGGCGTGGGGGGAGGGTCCGAGGGTGGGGGTTTCCTGGATGAGAAATGTACTGCCCCGACTATGACGGTGACAATTGCCGATATCAACCGCGATAGCCGTGGGGAATCAACGTCCCACGCACTCGAAATTTGAGTCAATGTCCCACGCACTCGAACCTTGAGTCAATATCCCATGCACTAGAACCTTGAGTCAATGTAGCACGCATTCAAACCTTCAGTCAATGTCCCACGCATTCAAACCTTGAGTAATGTCCCACGCACTCGAAATTTGAGTCAATGTACCACGCACTAGAACCTTGAGTCAATGTACCACGCACTCGAATCTTGAGTCAATGTACCATGCACTCGAACCTTGAGTCAATGTACCACGCACTCGAATCTTGAGTCAATGTACCACGCACTCGAATCTTGAGTCAATGTACCATGCACTCGAACCTTGAGTCAATGTCCCACGCGCTCGAATCTTCAGCATGCAGACATTGCCTTGAATTGGCTCGATTAGTCTCCTTGGCGAGCAGCGTTCAATTAATTAATGAGTTCGATAGCTGACCATGACATACGACACCCGTGGAAAAGGGAGTCTGAAGCCGACCTGGGCCTAGTCCACTCATCCTTAAATATGAACCTAGTATGGTGTGTAAACATCACCACTGGGGTGACAAAGTCAAATCAGGGTTATTCAACATAACCCCCTTGTCCTTAATAGGTGTTCGCTAAAACAATTGCTTTTTGTTTCGTTTCTTGTCCTTCCCCCACACTTCGGATTATCACGGTTAGCTACGTACGGTGCGATAGAAGTTCAACGTACATACAGCAGTCGATATAGCTCCACGGGGATGTATATTGTGTGTGTAGACGTAGCGCCGTCTTGTTCATTCACGCATTGACACGCTTCCAAATACAAAGCAGTTCTATTCCTGGCGATGACATTTATCCGATCAGTGGGTAAGTAGTGTCTGGGCCTCTCCTAGGTCAACTGAACCTTGAATGAGAAGCAGGTGAATTAACGATAGAAATCAGCACTTGGGAGACAAAGGCGGCTAGGCGTGGTTCGACCTCCTATGTAACCCCCCCCCTTCCACTCACAACCCTTGAGCGCCCTCAATGCGTTGCTGCTAACGAGGTTATTACATCATAGTCGCGTGTAAACGTGAGCGAATAAAACTCCTGGAACGCAAATTTCCCCACATCACAACACTAAACATTCGCATACATCAAACACTACAGCGCAAAACACATGTATTTAATTTTGCGTGTTACGACACTGCCATCGAGTGAGTCTATCGACGAATTATTATAAATCAGCGTGCTAACGCACCGAATTTGCCCGCTGACGTGACCTACCGTTCCAATCGGATATACGCCCGTCCGTACAGCCTCCCTAGACTGTATATGGGTCAACCTAAGAGGTGTTAGAGGATTTTGCGAGGCAAGAGCCATGGCAGCTGTGAGATTCAGCGCTGCTCCCAGCACCACGGTACTGCTGCTGCTGCTGACGGATGAGTTGCACCAGCGGTCGTACAGACAGCAGGCTACCACAGTGATGGTTGCTGTGTTGTGAATGTGTTCGAGTACCGTGTCAGTCGGTCTTGCATTAGATGCGTTGTCGTGTCATCGCAGTTATCGATATCGTCACGACTGTGTTCTATTCCTCGCTCGTGTATTCATTGTATAATCGGACGGAGAGGTGGCAGAACGGTTAGCGCACTACGCTATGAAACAGGCGATCAGAGTTTGACTATTTTCCATGGCTGGCATCAGTGGCGATTGATATCTGAAAGGGTTCTGGGTCTCGCTCCCCCGTCCCTCTTCACGAAGCTGCTCCACTGACCATCGCGGTGATGTAGGGACAAACAACCCCCACGACCATCACGGCCGTGGGGAGGCCTTCGTCCACCAGGGGGTTGATAGAGGGCTGTGAACTTTACAACCATCATCATCTCCAATAAGCATGGCTTCATGTCAGCCGGTTCGCATCCGGCACACCACATCCAGTAGACGATGCGCTATGGCTGTGGCTACTTTTCCAGTCTCCCCGCGCCCCTGGAAATATTGACTGAGAAATGAAACCCTGCACACAATCCGTCTGTCATTCTGATCGTCTACCCAAGCAGTTATTCGCCATCATCACCCGCCCGTTGTGCTGCTGCTGCTGCTTGTGGCTGTGTTGCAGACCATTTTGCTCAAACTTGTCACGTGTCTCTTCATCTTCTACTCGGCCTTCTACACCGTGTCCAGCCTGTGCCTCGGAGTCTTCAGGTAAATCCTCTCATCCACACACGCGCACAAAGACACCCCGTATAGGCTTAATAGACTGTTGGGGCAAGTGCTGTTAGCGAGCACCTATGAAGGCTGGAACGACACACGAGGTTGTGGGTGGCCAGCACCACGCCCGGCCGCCTTTGTCTCCCGAGTGGCGATGTGTACACATCGCACCAGATACTAATTTCAGGCTAAGTCGACCCAGGGGAGGCGCAGGACCGATTCACCAGTGTTCGCTGTGAGCGTGCTAACAGTTGCGCTGCCGCTCCCCACACGTGCGCACACACACACACACGTTCCACCGTTATTACGAATAAATAATCTCACTAAAGGTTGTAATATAACTGTTGTTTTTCATCCTTGATCACACGCTTACTAAGTTGCTTGAAAAACACATGCTCATTCCTAATGTCCTCTCACCTGGTTATGAAAATGTCATGAATGAATGAGCCCATAGAAGAGACGGTAAGTGTCAGCGGGCCGTGACCTCGTTATAAATAAAGGACGTGAATGAACGAATTAATGAGTAAAAGAGACAGTTATTGTCAATGAGCTGTCATCTGATAATGGATATAGTTCATGAATTAGTTCATGTGTCTTACACGATACCACCATCGAGGTTTGATGTACACTGGTTTTGACCGGGTGTGATATTCACTTTATAAATGCATACTGTGTAATGTTCCGTTCGGAGTGAATTTCCAGGAGAAATAGTTTAATAAACAAATGTGGTGTCCACTTTTATCGTATCCCTGATGGTCCACCCTGCAGGATGGATAAGTTTGATGGTCTCATGCCCTTCGATTTCAACGAGCCTCCTTCGCTAAAGCCCTCCTACATAGGTGAGACTCCCAGTTCAGACGCTTGAGATGTCACACTGACGAGGAGTGTTTGTGTGCACGGTTAATGCCCCTCGTGTTTTATGTATATAGGAAAACAACACCGACTCTCAATACTTTTTACTGGTAGGAACCTCCAGGTTACACCAGCCCACAGGTGGTTATTGTGTCCGTCCGTCGTGCATCCAAAAATGGGAAGGGTGGGGCTGGGTGGAGAGGGGAGGGGAGGGTGGGGAGCGGCTGGGTGGGGAGGGTGGGGATGGGTGGGGGGTGGGAGGGGTGGGGAGGGGCTGGTCACCCCGTGGTGCCCTTATAAAATTCCACGTTTAGCCTACTCAAGCCGGCTTGTGCCCACCCTCACAGTCGGGCATAATTGCGGAATACACCACGCCGCCGTTGACCCTGGCCATTGACCGAACAACCCAACGTTTCTACCAGCTCCCTCCGCAGGAATGTGTTTCATATCGCTACTTCATTAGGATGTTTGGTCAGTGCCATGAATGAGTGCTGGCTTCATGTGGGAGGAACCTGGAGGACCCAGACAAAACGCATTCATATCAGGGGGTGACGACACCCCAAGCTCCAAACAGATAGATTCAACAATGCATTGCTGTATGAGCATTTCTAGGCCACCTTGCAATTCAAGCCTACAACACCTGGTATCCCCAGGTAATCTCTCATCTAAGTACTTACCAGGCTCAACCCTGACGAAATCCGACGGAAGTGATTGCATTTAACACAATGTGTTAACGCGATGTTGGCCAGTAATGCATAAGGTAGACTCAAAAGCCGATGGGGTAACGTGGCCAGGACTGCCTTCTGCCATCTTTGTCGACCCGGCTCTGCTGTTCACCCTGCACTAATTAATGTGAGGCTGAGTTCCTCTAGGAGAGTTCTTCACCGTTTTGCGAATGTGTGCTTGCGTCAGCAATCCTCATCTCCACGGAGGTGACCTTCCTGCTGAGTGGACTCCTCTTTGCCATCGTCGTGCGGGGCTGGCTCTGGGACTACGCCGTCTCCGTGACTGTCGTCCACATCATCACCACCTGCATCGGTGAGTGGAGCGCTGGGAGCACCACCACCATCATCCACCTCATCACCGACATCCACATCGCCACCATCACGACCACCACAAATCACTATCTCAAACATATAATCACAACCATAATCACCATCATACACATCATCACCACTATCATCCACGTCATTTACATCATCAACACCATCCACATCATCACCATCATCCACATCATCACCACCACCAACAAGCATCCACATGATCTACATCACCACCAACATCGGCATCACCACCACCTCTGTGTGTGAGGGTATCGCTACGAGCACCACAGAGGAGGAGACGCGACCGGGATCTGGAGAAGTTCCGCAGTGCAGTGGGGAGACTGGGCGAGGAGATGTCGTTCAGAAGGAGACAACCAGACGCATCCCGAAGTCGAACATTTTGCCAAATCCTCACGCCGTGTGGGTCATGGGGGTTATTTGACCATCACCACGCTGGTGTTTGCGGATTCGTGCTGGTGGGCAGCACGCACTTGGCAGTCTGGGCGAGAAGCTTGCAGCAATGGGTGGCGCTGCACTGCCCTCTACTGCCCACCGCACAGCCCTGCTGCTTTATACACCGTGGGTGTACAGTCGCCAAAGGCTTGCTTCCTTAAGATTCCAAGGTAAATGCAAGGTTATTAGTAGAAGCAGGAGAGTAGGACGACAACAGCGACATCCAGCAGTGGAGAGAACAGGGATCCGAGAAGTGACGACCGCGTCACGGGGGAAACGGAAACACCGGACAAGCGTGAACCAACTCTCACACAGAAACAGCATTGTCCTGCAACACAAGTTGGCACAGAAAAAAATACCTTTAAACATACTAATAGGGATTTTCCCCTTTTTTCTGGCAACAAAACTGATACCTTTTGCAAGGAATCATGCTTACATTAACCACAATACTTGCAGTCAAATGCAAAAAAACAATACTCTGATAATTTATGCATTGTCTTTGAAACTGATTGGTCCACACCAGAGACAGCTTTCTTTAGAGCCTCGTCTCATATGGTGTTCGACCAGATGACGCCAAAAGGCGCTGCTGCTGCTGCTGGTGGCTGCTGGTGGTCATCTGGTCGAACACCATATGAGACGAGGCTCTAAAGAAAGCTGTCTCTGGTGTAGACCAATCAGTTTCAAAGACAATGCATAAATTATCAGAGTATTGTTTTTTTTTTGCATTTGACTGCAAGTATTGTGGTTAATGTAAGCATGATTCCTTGCAAAAGGTATCAGTTTTGTTGCCAGAAAAAAGGGGAAAATCCCTATTAGTATATTTTGGTACTGGCAAAGGAGGTCCCATGATGTACCTTTAAAGAGTTCAAAGTCATTAAGTAAAAAAAACCTTCAACAAGTTTAGGAAAAGAGGATTTCTACCCCTTCTTTGTTTAGGGCTATGGCCACATTTGCGACTTATTTTTTCCCCAGTAATGAAGCTGAAACTTGCCAGACAGCTCAGGACGCACAACTTAGTAGATGTGCGTGAATGTTATTTGTATGGAATAATGCAATATATCACATCATACTGTACATCACGCACAATCAACAGATATTCCATGTATTGTGAGAAATGGTTCCGCGTGTCCCATAGCTGTACCCGTGCACACTCACTTCGCCACGACAACAACGACCAAACCTCCCTGAATGCACCGATCTCGTCACATTTCAGAAGCTAAGCAGGTTTGAGCCTGGTTAGTACTGAGGTGGGAATCCTACGTGTTTTAGGCCTTGGCTGCGAGGAGACCATGAGATGGCAGTACATCAATTAATTCTTAAATCTGCCTGTGCAGAGCGTTGAGTGTTAGTTACCCCCTCGTATGTATATCTGGTTTCCTCCCACACTTAGCCACACACTCGTTCATGGAATTGGCCACACATTTTCATGTCGGACTTGAGACTCGGTGAGACTTCCCTTGATGAAGGGCATCGTTATCGATTATTCTAGATCAAGATCGTGGCCAAAGCCGTTGATGCCGCCCATACTGGACGTATGTGAAAAAGAGCTTCATAGCTCACCGGGTTACTCCTGCTGCAGTCTAAATACAGATTCTGATGCCACCGCAGCTGCTGCAGCTGCTGCTGGTGGCTGCTGCTGGTGGCTGCTGCTGCTGGCTGCAGCTGCTGCTGGTGCTGCTGCTGGTTGCTGCTGCTGCTGCTGCTGGTGGCTGCCAGTGGCTGCTGCTGCTGGTGGCTGCTGCTGGTGCTGGTTGCTGCCAGTGGCTGTTGCTGCTGGTGGCTGCTGCTGCTGCTGGTGGATGCCAGTGGCTGTTGCTGCTGGTGGCTGCTGCTGGTGGTGGCTGCTGCTGCTGGTGGCTGCAGCTGCTGCTGGTGGCTGCTGCTGCTGCTGGTGGCTGCCAGTGGCTGCTGCTGCTGGTGGTGGCTGCTGGTGGTGGCTGCTGCTGCTGCTGGTGGTGGCTGCAGCTGCTGCTGGTGGTGGCTGCTGCTGCTGGTGGTGGCTGCCAGTGGCTGCTGCTGCTGGTGGCTGCTGCTGCTGCTGCTGGTGGCTGCCAGTGGCTGCTGCTGCTGGTGGTGGCTGCTGGTGGTTGCTGCTGCTGCTGGTGGTGGCTGCAGCTGCTGCTGCTGGTGGCTGCTGCTGCTGCTGCTGGTGGCTGCTGCTGGTGGCTGCTGCTGCTGCTGGTGGTGGCTGCTGCTGCTGCTGCTGCTGGTGGCTGCTGGTGGCTGCTGCTGGCTGCTGCTGCTGGTGGCTGCTGCTGCTGCGCAGTCGACACGCAGAGACCTCCACCCACTGCCCGGACAGCCTCCTACCGTCTGCCCTTAAGTCTCCCCCTTGGCCGCCGAAAAGTTTGAACGAAGTTTTGATGAGCGTGGCTATTATTGTTCCTAATAAAACATAAATGTATCCCACACCTTCCCTTTCTATGTATCATTCATTGCAGTCTCGCTCAGTTTCCCGCTGGTCTGGCATTGGTGGGCAGCGATCGGTGAGTACAGTGGAATCACTTCCAGCGTCTTGAGATGCGGTGACATGTAAACGCGCCGTGTAACCTCGAGTGCATTGCAACTATTATTGTTTGTACTCCTGTATCTCAGTCATTGTGAATCTGACGGCCGTTACATTGGCACTTCGGGTGTCGTTATTATCGAGGGAGTAAACATTTGAGTGATTCTGCGTTGGTGATGATGCACAAGCACAACCACGACAAACTCCACACGCTCGTCTACGATGCTGTGTGGCCATACAAGGGGAAACTACGGTGATGTGGTGAAGTTAGGGCAACGATATCAAATTGTGCAGGAGCCTTCACCAGCAGACGGCGCTAGAACCACGTGCCGCTGCTTCTGTCCATGTGGATATCTGTGACTTGAATGACAGATGTGGATACGAGACCCCCACAACATTTGAATTTAATTAATTCGTGCATTCATGTTATCGTGCACCAATGCCAACCCAGCATCACCAAATAATGTCCACCTTCCCAAGTGTAGTTTGCTCTTTGATTTCGCCTTACTTAATTGTTGTACACTACTTGTTTTTATCTCATTGCTTGTTATTTTAGTGACCCAGGCCACTATTGTGAATGAGACTCTCCTGGTCTCCTGAGCACTCACCTAGTTTAAAAAAATAAACTTGAAGTATCCTGCTGTGGTTGTGGTCACTGACTAGTGTGTGGTTGTGGTCACGTGAACACAATGAGAGGACCGAAAGTAAAAATCGGAGCAATACTTGGTACTGGTGGGTGTGGGGTATGGGGGCGGAGCACGTGTGCCAATTAAACTCCAACCAGATAATCCTCAGCCCTAACAGACTAGCCTCAACTATTTATATTTTTACCAGGTAAGGCCCACTGAGCTACATAGCTCTTTTTCAGAAGCGGTCTGACCACAAATGATAGCTCATCAAAAGTGGTTAATCACGTGGGAATTTATAGCAGTCAAAGACTCTAAACACATGTTATCTAAATATGGAGGGAAAACTAGAGAACCCGGATAAAATTCCTCGCGACCACCGGGAGAACATACAGACCCCAAATATAGAGGCATCAGGGTCAGGATCGAACCCATGACCTCCTGCATACCAGGCGAGAGAGTTAACATCTCGCCACCGCGGTGCCCCATTTAGCCCCGAGCGCCATCCCTATCCCTGGCACTATTCCTAACACGAGACTCATCTCTCGTGCTCCACTCTCTCGTGCACTGCTGGCACACGTGGCCAGCACGCGGTCGTAGCGCCCTCCATCCACGTCTAGGCTCGAGGGTGTATTTCGACTAACCACAGCATGAGCAGCTGGTTGGGTTCTGGGTCGACAAGGGGAGCCGTTTGCAGCCACTGCCAGGTGTCGTGTCGCGTCGTTCGGTAGCAACATAGGCTGGGGGCAGCGTGAGGTGGCGTTCCGACGGGCGTATGTCTGACAACGTCCGAACAGTATTGCATCTGGAAAGCCTGCGTCTTGTCCGAGTGGGCCTTCAGTATACTCCATGTGTCGGGCTCGTTCAACAAAACTGAGCCACCGCAGGTGTTTGTGCTGTATATGCGCAGTGGTGTTGCTAGGCCCAGCCGGCTCTGTTTCCAGACACGAGCGAGCGGTGCTTCACCCAGTCCCCTCCTTCACGCTGTGCTCACTCTCCACTGCTGGTGCTCAGAGCACTGCTGTGATAATGACTGCCACTGTGCGGATCCTCACTGGTGAGATGCCGATACTCATGGTGAGATGTCAGTGATGTTTGTGACATGAGATGCCGGTGCAGGTAGGGTGAGATGATGGTGCTGATGGAGAGATGCTGGTGGTGTGAGATGATGGTGCTGGTGGTGTGAGCTGATGGTGCTGGTGGTGTGAGCTGATGGTGCTGGTGGTGTGAGCTGATGGTGCTGGTGGTGAGTGCCTCCTGCTCTTTGTGAGTTGAGATGCCGTCAGGTGTCCCCTCACCCAGGTGCGTCTGGTTGTGCCATAGGCTGCGGCCTGGTGCTCATGGCCACGTCGGGGCAGCTGATGGCGCTGATCGTGTGCCGAGAGCTGCCCGCCATCCCCATCATCGAGGACAGGGTGTGAGGGCGGAGAGAACGGGGACACGGAGAACATGGCGAGATGGGAGCCAAGGAGACTCGGACATAATGCAGAGAGAGGGAAATGGGACCAAGGGGACACAGGGCGATGAAGTCACCGGGAGATTGAGATGCGGAGTCGGGGGGTCACAGGGACGCGGGCACTCAGGGGAGAGGGTTTCTCGGGGATTCCGGGCCGCCGCTGGGATAGAGGCCCCAAGGAGATGTGAACATTGAGGGGAAGGACCTTCACGAGCAATGGGACGTGCACTCGCATTACTTACAGTGTTTGAACATGCTCATTTTTCATATTAACGTGACGGATAGCTATACGTGGAAAACTATTTAACTCATTATTAAGGGGAGAGCTGTGGATATGGTGAGGATGTCCACTCAGGGTGTTCAGTGCCGCGCTGAGCGCTACATCGCGGTCGGATTAACGCGTGGTGGTCCTCTCCAATTATACAGCACATGTCTGGATTTAATGCTTGAGATATTTTATTAAATATTACTTTTTCGTGAATAAACCATTTAAAAAACTACTCGGAGGTCATGACCATTATGAGTGGAATATGTAAAGGGTTATTATAAGGACGTACATGAATAATGGAGGCATTTGAACAGTGTTTACAGAGACTGATCAATGTTAGCTCCATAGTACGCGGTTGCCCAGCCACTTTTGTATCTCCGTGCTGATGTTTCCACACTGCATTGTTTATTTAGGGTTGAGTAGACCTAGGGGAGGCCCAGGGCCGGATCACATATCACTTGTCACTCATGTTGTGGACGGTCAGGAATCTAACTCAGTTTGTTGACATCCTGGTGCAGTGTGAGCACGATTATTATAAGCGGTCAAAACATCCTGAGAACATTTGTCCGAAAGCACTGCACCACCTTGTGTGAAAGAGCGAAACCGGAAGATGATGTTACAGAACTACTTCTGACATCACTTTAATCGGGCCCTTTTCATCGACACTCGGGGCACGCCTCTGCGTGGGCCCGGCAAAGAGTATTCTTTGACCTGTGGTTCGCTGCTTGAAAATCAATCTGAAATATTCAGTGATAACACCTGAAATACGCCGAATTAAGTGCAAAGTCAAATGGAGTATACTGTACTTGTGTGGCCTAGTGACCGAGCTAAGACCATTAAACTCGCGGCTGAAATCCAAATTCGAACCCTGGGTCTCGGTGATGCCACAGATCATTGTAACCTCCGAAGCACTCGGCCACCTTAAAGCTTTCGTGACTGCAGGAATTCATATTCTTGGGTCTCTCGGTAAAGTCACGTAGATAGGTTCAAAGAAAATATTTTTAAAATAACCAAAAAACTACGAAGTTTCGATCGCAATGTAAGCAATCGTCATCAGGACGATTGCTTGCGTTGTGGTTTTTTGTTATTTTCTTTGAACCTATCTACGTGACTTTACCGAAAGACCCAAGAATATGAAGTTATGATGTATCACGAACGTCAATGCACAGGCTGTTCTCAGAACGCTGACTGCTGCCCTTGTGAATCGCATCATTCGTGGGTGATATGAAACGAGTGGCGTGAAGAGCAGAGACGCAAGGGGGCTGGAGACACTTGTAGAGGTAACTTCTTTATTACAATCCAACACTCCTACACACGCAAGGGGGCTGGAGACCTCCGCTTCAGCGCTGGGGCGCACTCTAACGCAATGCACACAACCGTGCTAATAGCCTCGCGTGTTCTGCAGTGAATTTCCTTCAAATCGTTATACCCTGTACATACAAGGTGCTTTTGTAGATATATTTTAAAATAAAAGTTATTTATACTTTGAAATCCTTGTCCTCCTCTCTGTGCGAGTTTTATTGCGGATCGAGGTCGCGGCCGCTGTTTTAGTGTCACGTTGAGGTATTTAGTGCGCAAGGGTTACAGAAGCGCGCGGTTAGGGGCAGGCAGCACAAAACGTTGACCACGACCTTCGGTTTAACCACACAGGCAGTGAAGCGAGCGCAGTTGGCGAGTGTCTTTTAAAGGCAGCAATTCACTCGTGAGAACTGGTGGTGTGGTTAGAACCACAGTAGCTTGGCCGCCTTTGTCACTCCAGTGACACTGAATTGTAGTTGTGTTCATCCAATAAAGGCTCAGGCCAAGTTCAGATACCAGTTGTCACTGCTGTAAATGTGATGTCCGGCCAAGTAGCTCAGCGGTAGAGCGAGCGGTTCGTCATCACAAGGTCGCGAATTCAAATCGTGGCTGGGGGTTGACTCTGCCCCTCGTCAGCACGGCCTCGATGCGCCGCTTTGGGGAATGCCGCTTTGTGGGGAACGCAAGTGGTTGTCTTCAAAGTAGACTCACCCGCACAGTAGGAAAGTGAAATTTACACCACAGGTTCAGGGCTCTAAAGAGGAGATGATCACTGCCTCAATGCTCATTTGAGCATAAAGTCACTTTGACTCTGAGAGATGTGCATCACGGTGATGAATGAAATCGTAACACGCAAAGAACCGTCTGTCTACATACACATGGACAGTCGCATGCACACACATGCACGTACACATTCAATCTTTAACAAGCACGCGAGAGCCCATTGAGAACAAGAGTCACTTTTATCAAAGGAGACTTTGGATCATAATACACACGTACAAAAACAAAGATAAAGAGCCCCCGTATTTCCTTTGACAGATTATTGGGGCAACTACTGTGAGCGAGCGCCCATGAAGGCCTGCACGGCACACGAAGGGGTGGGTGGCCATCACCACGCCCATCCTCCTTCGTATTCCCAGTGCTGATGTTTACACATTTTTGGCTGAGTCGTCCAAGGGGAGATTCAGGTGAGGTGCACTTTGAGGCCGTTACGCGAAGTGTGGAAAGCTCGCTCGCAGGTGGTCATGGGACAGAACCAGGTGTGTGGGTTAACTGCATGTATGTTGAACTTCTTTCGCACCGTACGTAACCAACCATGCCAATCGGAGGTGCGGGGGATGACTGGCTCATGGACCACAAAGTGCTGTCTTCAGTGTCAACTGACACACGAACCTACATCCAGACTGCAGGGGCAAGTGCTGTTTACACAATCGCCTAACATCTCTATACTGCCCGGTACACATCTACGCGCAGGTGTGAATGGCTCTTAAAAGATGAAAAGCAGCAGCGCTCACTCACGTCGGAGCGCGCCATGCCTATGACGTCATCGCCCCTCACCTTTGCCCCGACCGCACTGCGCACCTTTGCCCGGAGCCGTGGCAGAGGGAGAGCAGACGGAGACGCGAGGCAGATTTCCTCTCAATACATGCAGGGCCTGCAGGTCACACACAGCAGCCACCGAGACAAGGACCACGGGACCTATAGGGGGAAAGGGTCCTTCCGCCGCTGGGACAGAGGCTCCAAGGAGATGTGAACATTGGAGGGCAGGACCATCACGAGCAATGGGACGTGCACTCGCATCACTTACAGTGCCTGAACATGCTCATTTTTCACATTAACGTGAAAAACTGTTTAACTCGTTATTAACGGGAGAGCCTTGGATATAGCGAGGATGTTCACTCAGGGCTGATTGTCGTGCTGAGTGCTACATCATGCTCTTTGGTAGAAAACCAAAGAGTATGAATCCTTGCAGTCACGAAAGCTTCAAATCTAGAATGCTACATCATGGTCGGATTATCGGATTCTGAGGGCCCTCCAAATTACACAGAATATATAAGGATTTATTTTGGTTTAAACTTAACACTGTGCCACTGTGATTAATCCCAGTGCAGCTTGGTAACTAAAGCCAAAGCATCACTGTATTAAATATTACTTCTTTACTTCCGGCTATCTGCCGAAGTAACATTTTTGTTGTTGTTTTAACCTTAATTTATATTTGCATTTCGCACATCACATTTATATTCCCAACCCGGAATAACAAAGATGAATCATAATGGAGCTTTTGGAAAAAGATTGAAGGGGATGGATTTAATTAATAACGATGGGCCCCACTTCAAACTAAATCTGTCCCTGAAATTCCGGACGAGCAACTCGCGGCTTCGCCTCGCAGGGCGTGTGTGGTCACACGAGGCCTGCCGCGTCTACACGGTCCCCGACCAGTTCTTATCCGTCACTGCAAGCGTCTTATGCGCACTAATCGGGTGCTAGAGGGGAATAAGCTTGCATCGGCAACCATACCGTGTTTATAACTTTAGCCTCGCCACTGCAGTGTGACATGCGAGTCTGTGGTGCGCGCGTGTTAACAGCGTGTGGCCCACTCAATGTTTAAAAATGAGTTTGGCCCTCGGTAAGAAAAAGGTTCCCCACCCCTCATGTAGCATAGCATGGTCAGCACACGGCATGGGAAAGCCGTATTGACCCTCCTCTAGGTCGGCTCAGATTAAAATGTGTACCGAATGTATATGTCAAAATCAGCAATAGAAAGACAAAGACGGTGTGATTCAGCACTGCGGAGGCAGGGTTTGGTGGATCCCGTCGGGATGTTTGCAACTTTATGAAACTCTCAAACCGAGGTGGCCAGGAGATGACAGCACAGCAAGCGGGTTCTTGTGCCCGTCTATGGGGTTTCTCCCCCCCCCCCCCGGTTTCCTTCCACACAAAGGAAAAGACGCTGGAATTTACAAAGGAATTGACCAAACATCATAACGTGTGGCAGGACTCTCCTTACAAGAGAGTCGTGCGACTCGGTGAGACTTTCCTTGGTAAGTCACTGACACGACGCATGTGAAGTTCGTTCAAGAAGCCGCACAACTCGGCACGTGGCACGCGAGGAAATGAGTTGAAGGAACAGAAACAAATGACACCCTTCATCCATGAATTAATAAACCCCGACCCGCCCCGTCTCCCTCCCTCCCTCGCACAGTCTGTTATGAAAACATCGCATTTCCTGGCTCCGGTTCAACCTCACCGGCACAAACGGCCATTGCCGCCTATTGACTCGTAGCACAGAGAACCCTCTCATTAATGAGAGCAGATCATGAATTTCAAACACCTTTGTGGGGCCGCGCATTGCAAACACCCGCTCGAGAGGACGGCTGTTGTAGGGGGACAACGTCCTT